TATTGCTCTACCGGCACTCCAATCTAATTTTTATCCAAGTTATTCCATGATCATAACTAATCTAAGCGTTATTGATATAAGGTGCTATCATTTGCCGCTATGTGTATGGCTTCAATCTATTCGCTGATACTTTACTGAAATTATATGGGTCAACCAAACCTAGATTGAATGAACTTAAAGACGAATGGGCAATTTTTCGCTTTAATTACGGAAACGCGGTAGCTAATAAATTTGTTTACTATACAGTGGATCGCATTAATCAAGCGAGCAGACATACAAGAGCTATCCGCCAAACCAAAGTCCCAAGTATGTAGTAAAAATTTGAAAATGATGAATGCTGGCATATTTAGAGTTAGTGCATTCTATTATTAATAGTTAAATGTTTTGCAACACTATCAAATATATGTTATGTGGTAAAATAATATTTTAAAATTTAATTTGATAGGATATTTTATCGTTGGTATGGAAGATCCGCATGTTGGTGACGATATCATTGGTGCTTGGAAGTAAGTACCGTATAATTCATTAACTATTCGTCAGACAAAGGTTTCTATTCTTGTCAGACCTTAAATAAGCTTTATTGTAAATAACTCCTAATAATGTAGCTTACTATTTTATAACTACACTTAATGGGGCATTTACAAGTGTAGTGCAGCCCCAAGTTAGCTTAAGATTACAATTGTAATAGGCAAGATATGATTGTATTGGGGAAAAATCATTCCGTAACTGATTGTATTTAAACGATGGATCTTGATGTAATAATTTAGCTATTCCTTATAGTTGTGAGACGAACCGATATATATGTAATTAAGTGAAGTTACAAGAAAGTGTAGTTCATATTTTATCCACTATTTTTTAGAAGACTCTTTATCACAACAAATTTATTTGATAATAATTCGTTATCAATGCATGTTGTTAATATTTTCAATTCCTATGCGAAAAATTTATCAGGCGAAATGTATCCGCGGATTCTATCGTAGAACTGAATGGTGCAGGTCATTATCCGTATTTAGAAAAGCCACGAGAAATGTTTAATGCGTATCAAAATTTCAGGAAATCTATAATGCCTAATGTGACTAAATCCAATTCCGCTCCTCAGTCAAATGAATCACCACGGTCTGAGGCTAACAATAAATCTGCCACAAATGCAAAGAAAGACGCAAAAAATCAGGCGAAATTGTAATATCCATAACAATATTATATATCTTTTTGCAGCTGATTTATTTTTAAAATTGTTCTAATCCTTGCATGGCGTGCTAGAAAATGGCCATGATGAAGCTCTACGTTAATATAATAGTAAATATACCTCATATGTATTGGCTTGATGTGGTACAAATAATTACAGTATTGGTAAAATACTAATGGGTAAAGTAGATTTCTCATTTTTTAATCTGACGATAATTAAATATGCTACCAGAGTATCTGTAGTCATTAACTGAATTTTACCATTTAGGGAGTACTTCCAGTCTAATTCATTTTAATGCTATGGTTTTTCCTAACCAGCAGTATTGCATTTTTATTTTTAAGTATTTCTGACATGAAATTTAATCTACTAACAATCAGCAATAAAACTTACATAATAAAACTTCGTTTATTAGCATGTTACATGGAAATAAATAATATTTATAATATAATTATGCGCTGTAGTTAGTTATCTTCAGATCTTCTTTCATAATTAAGATAAGATTATTTTAGGAATATAATACAATGTTTTATTAGTTATCTACACAAATAATTTACACAAGGTCAAACGTTGAAAGTGTAATGATATCGTCATGATTGTATCTGCAGCTCATAGAATTACATCTTCAAACCAATTAAATTAGAACAGAAAACTTGCTATTGTATATGATGGGCAAAGTTGAAATATCGTATTAAGTTTTTGTCGCATGTAGAATATGTATTAAGCTATGCAAGATGTAAATCGGCACCAAGAATGAATCCAATTAATATTCCCGTTGACAGTGCTTTCAAAACTTTGTACTTTAATATTGTGAAGCTGTACATTCAGTAAATGTTATCCTATACTGATTATACTGCATGATTGATAATCCAAGTCAAGACTACGTTGCTGAAAACTCCCTAAAAAATCGCTTGACTGTGTCCCCAACTGAAAAGTTACTGGCATCGCCAGTTTGACAAGAAATCTGTAATGAGGTAAAAGTTGTTGACGATGAGCAAGACTGTTCTGAACTGCATAATCTCCAGTAATTGGCAAATATCTCACCTTGTATAGATACGGTTGCACTGCTTTAAAGCTAATATCGTAGATATTTCCTAGTTCAGCTTGTTTAGAAACTTTTGGTACAAAATCGGGCTTATTCATAGTTTCGGCAATGAATAGGATCTATTGTGTTAGTATAGAAGGAAATTTATTCAGTGAAACCGGAATTAACCCGATTAATACTATATATTTATTGCCTACAATTTCAGTTAAAGAGTCTTTGATTTTTTCTACAAGAATTTCTTTTTCTAAAAAGTTAAAGAGTAAATTATCAGAGATAAGACAATTTCTGCATGAACTGATAACAATCCACTATACTTTGGACACTGTCATGATAACCAGCTACAGATTAATTAACTAACCACTAGCAGTAGCAACGGTAATGAGTCTTATTCTCAACGACCATATTTCCCATGGTATTGATTCCATGGTGAAAAACCAACCTTTTCTTCGTCTCTCAAAAAATTCTAATGAAATCTTTTATATCCAATAGCAGTATAAAAAAGTAATTATTATATAATGTACCTACAACTACTATTTTACCACATCATTTAAGATAGAATGTATCGTTACAGCCGTGTGAATGAAGAAATCGTCATGGCAAGCTTATGTATAGTTACTAATAAACGTTCTATCAAGATAAAAGTAAGAACGATACTTCCTACAGCGCAAGGTAGGCGCTATGTCCACGTCTATGGATTATACTACCATCAGATATTGTACTTTTACAGCGTCTAAGGTTACGAAATCACATGACATCGTGCAGTCCACAAAAATGATGCATTAGCAAATTGTAAGTTAACCGTAATTAAAATTAACCTGTCCACATCCAGATGAACATAGCTCGTTTTTAAAATGTTTTACATTTTCTTGTAGTTGCCTGTCTAAGTCATCTGCATCACAACGGACCTAATAAAAATAAGTTGCGATAATAAAAATTAAATCTTTCCTAATTTACGCGTCAATTACAGTAGTGAATAAGTTGCAGGGCCAACAATATTTCAATAACTGCAATAGATGAAATCAATTCAATTAAAGATACAAATCGATATCAATTGTAAAACTCGTTCAATGTTGGTCTTGTACAATTTGATTAGATTAATATGCGTCCATACTGTATACATTTTTTTATAGGAATTTGACAACATTGTGCAAATAAAACAAATCAGGCCAAAGGAGCAATTTAAATCTTGCGTAATACTCTACCATCTTTTATTACTCGTTTCAACAATATATGTACTGTAAATATAGTAAGCCATTTTATGGAGATTGTATGGCATTGTGCAAATAAATCAATCCAAAGAAGCAAGGTCAACCATTTATGGTACTTTTGATTTTCAATTGCAATACGTATAAGCGTTTGTATATAATTTCTTACGTAAGTGAAATCCAATTGGTTGCAGTCTTCATCAACCATGCCTACAGTGCCCACCATGTATGACTTTTCATCTTTATAGTTGAACTAGGAATAATCCAATATGAACAATAAATGTATCATTAGTTGATGGATACATTGACGGTAGTAATCGATGATTAGTAACTATCTGTGTCAATTACTACATTATCTTGTACGACGATCAAGGTACAAATAACTAAACTTTATTGGTTGGATAAATAATGTGTCTATTTGAAAATATATGGTTCTGAAACGGACTGTAAAGAAAAGTAAGCTTGGATACATCATTATCCATTTACAACAGCCAATCAAGTGCTATTAGGCAGTTGATGAAAGTTCCATTGAAATAGCAACGATGTACTTTGATTAGTTTTACAGCTATTCTAAAAATTGATGGTACCGCAATTGACTATCTAGGAAGGATTACAACATAACCGAAGCCATTTCCAATTTGACTTGGCTTGATGAAAGCAAATTCATTGATCATTTACCCGTCTAACAGAATGCATGTACGATATTACAGTATAGCTTACCTTTCCAGCAGTTCTATGAAACAAGATACTATGAAAGATGCCTAGTGTTGTCATCAAGATAAAAAGAAAAAAGTATTTTTTTAATAATAACAAAGGTGAATGAATGAATGATAAGATTATCAAGTTGCTGGATTGAATCGATATTGGACAAGGATAATTATTATCCCAGTTTGAATTCATAAAAGCCAACGACTACTTCAAAAGTCAATGCCGGCTACTCTTGTGGTATCATGGTGTTGGTGCGATAACATCAATTGGATTATTAGTTAAGAGAGGATAAAACACGCGTAGAACATGCCGAAGTCAACACTGCTTTAGCCGGCAAAAAGAGAGCAAAATGAAATTTCCATCGTAAGATACGTGTTAGCGCACTAGCATGTATCATCGGTTCTTGAAAACACTCATACGATCATCGACTGTACGCTAATTTACTACAGTATATGATGACTAGCTCTTTCATCAGGATATTGCCATGAAAGGGATTAACATATTGGTGGCCTTGCTGGTTTGAAAATCAGTCACAATCAATATCAATTGGTCCCGATGATACACTATCAACGCTTGGATAGAGAGTGTCTAAGAGTAGAACTGTTCGTAGTAACTGTTGATTCGAGCGCAAAGGATTCCATCGACTGTATCGATCTGCTTCTTGCACGACTGATTGACTTTGAACTTGTGGTCATTGACTAGCAATAACGGGCCAATGTTTAATGTAGAAGAGAGTGATGCAAGCGATTACATTTTGTACAATAAACTGTTGGATCAACATTGATTGAAATTATTTTGTTGGCGACGACGATTTATTGATTACCGAATATACCGTCAGAATAGTGATGAAAATACTGTACTGTCCACTTGGGTCTATTGTCATACAAGTGCAATAGTTGAATACGCTGAAGTAATGTCAACATTAACAGTACAATCTATTTCTGTAGCAGTAGTCCTTGAACTTACACATCACTGTTTCTTCCACTTGGCTGCTTTCCAAGGACTAAAAATGAAATAATATAACCATCCGTTAATAATGATCACTATAATAGGGCAAAATGGGATTTTATTTCGTCCTAGAAAGCGATAAAATGAATCGCAATTGGAGTCGAGTAATGTTATTTTCATCTTAGTAGGACGTTGAAAGTGCGAATTGAACAACTTACAAGCTCAAAGGTTTGAGTCCTAGCATTCATCGTATCAATCAAGCATGTTTCTTTCCAATATTCTATCAAGTAATTGGCTGCTAATGGCTATAATCACTGGATGACTGGGATACTGGCAGTTAACGCAACGACGACTTTATTGACTTTTTGGAGGGGGGGGGGGAGATTGCTTTAGCAAAGGAAAAAGAAGAACAACGTTGTAGTAAAACCACTAACAGTATGCGATGTATGGCGCCGTCGACTTGGTACCGTATCAACGCCAAACCAATACAATACTGGATTGGTCACACTGTCCTGGCGTCGGAATTTTTGAGTCAGGGATTTCAGAGTCCAACAGGCAAAGTCCATTATACTGTCAATAAGAGCGGTGCGCCAAGCAGTAGAGAGTGGTGAAAGAGTTTTCCTTGATTGCTTTGTCCAGTGACGTTTTCGTCCAGTTACGTTCCGTTTAGTACAGTGTACAGTACTTTTGTAGATGTGCAGTGTATTGTACTGTACAGTACAGTACAAAGTCGCCCAGTACAAGCCGGGCCTGAGGATGAATAACGAACGTTCCGTACAGTACTGTACTGTACACTCTACAGTATAGTATTACGGAAAGATATATTCTACAGTAGGCAAGCACCTTGGCGTTTACGAGTAACTACGCACTCTCTTTTCGTTCCGTTTTGTACAGTACAACACAGTGTACAGTGTACAGTACAATCGTCTGTCCAAACTTGGAGTACTGTACACTGTACACTGTACAGATTTTCGAGCGAAATACTGTACAGTACTGCACACAGTGCTTTACAGTAGTGTACTGTACAGTACAGTATTTGTCGCTATACTCACTACAGTATGTACAGTACAGTACAGTAGGCAAGTACTGTACCTTGGCGTTTACGATTAACTACGCACTCTCTTTCCGTTCCGTTTGCACAGTACAGTGTACACTGTACAGTACAATAGTCTGTCAAAACTTGGAGTACTGTAAACTGTACACTGTACAATACACAGTGCTGAACACTGTACTGTACTGTACTCTGTACACTACAGTATGCAAGCACCTCAAGTTTACGAGTAACTACGCAGTCTCTTTCCGTTCCGTTTTGTACCGTACTCCAAGTTTGGACAGACGATTGTACAGTACTCATGTACTGTACTGTACAGTACAGGTTCTCCAGCGAAATACAGTACAGTACTGTACTGTACAGGGTGTAGAAATTCGATCTAGATTTAAAAAAAACAGATAAAATGATCAAAACTTTAAGCAGATATACAGTTTTATGGGTTTTATTCGAAAATAAATCATAAAAATATTCACTGACTTATCTAGAAAGAAATTCTACACCTTGTACTGTACTGTATAGTACTGTACACTGTACTGTACAGTCGTCTGTCCAAACTTGGAGTACTGTACAGTACATTGTACACTTTAATGGAGACTGTAGCCTACAGTACTACTGTACTGGACGCCTCGTGGCCCTACCGTACGACAGTACTGTACGTACAGTGTACAGTATACAGTACTGCAGGATGACTGTCTTGACCAACACACTAGCATGCCATCGACTGTCTACTATCTACTGTATTATTATTATTATGATTATTTTTGTATTTTTTTTTTTTCAATGCAGCCTTTCCAATTTAGAGTTGCTCAATCATAATTGACAACATCAAGACGACAATAGAATGCTTGTTGCAAATTAAATTAGTTGCTAGCCTGAGTGTGAGTCATCACCTTGCCACACATTAGCTTACAATAGAGATTTTGTACATGAAAATAACGTGATGGGCATTCATTCTCTCCCACCATGTTATCCACTTGTATGGAGCAAGCAGAATACGTCAACAGTATGCAATTATTCAGCCTGCCCAGCCATGATTGCCATCGACTGCAGGCATACAAGACAAGATAGGGATTGTCCAGTCAAAATTCTATCTTGTATGACAACAGGCCATACTCTACTCCTATAATGATCTCTTTGCATGTCTATTTGCAGTAGACTTGGCTTGAGCTAATATTGAGTGATGAGACAGCGACTCGTTATCATGGATTTGAATCAATGGATTTAATTCAATTCCAAGACAAAATTCTCCCAGTCTGCGCTAACAACTGCCTTGCATGTTAACCGCGCTCCACAGGGACCACAGCACTTTGTGATCCATTTTCCCTTACAAGTATCAAACATCTTCACTCATCAATAGAGAACGGTATGGACATGATGCAAGTATTGCGTTAAACCTAGACTATCCCATTCGGGATTGCCCACTTGTTTCTTGCAAATCATCGCCTATTCATCCGGTAGTATTATGACAGTCATCAAAACAATCATAATCCCTTCACTAGCCTACACTATAGACCATACAGTCTGTTTTATAGCACTGTACTGCCGGTCGTATCTCACACAACCGATTGCGCTAATGTACTGTATAATATACAAGTGTATATGCAATTGGACCACTGGCATGCATCTGCCTGTTGCGATTTGTTGTGATGATTACTTGACAGTCAGTTCCTTTTGCATAAGTAAAGGAGGCACGGCAGCAATCATTTTCTGTATTCTATCCATTGGCTGCACTTTCTCTTAACTTTATTCCTTTCTACAACGCTAGAATTAGATACCTAGCCAGTGATTGTAATCTACATCCAATAGAATCAGGACAACGCGTTCTCGTTGAATTCTTGCCTATCCAAGATTGACAACGGCGTACGCCCTTGATCGCATTCAATTTGCTCCATTCCCAAATCATCTGGGTTCATCGTTTTCTTGCTGGCTGATGCACTTTTCAACGCCTTCTTCAATTTTAGCCACTATCCACGCTAGTTGTCATCCATTGAATTAATCTAGCGGTAATAGGAGTAGGAGAAGTCATCGTCCAAGTCTACAGTCATTATTGCATCAACAGCCGGAAGAAAATTCCTCTTTAATTATACCCCCATGCACGAACATCTTGAATGACCGCACCAACGTGATTGGACGTATTCATTGCCAACTAAAAGAATCACTATGGCCTCCAATAAAAGAGAAACTGAATTATTTGAAGCTCAAATTAAAGGTTAGTGATCGACACAAGTTGTTGTAAAATTCCAATAGTGTCCATCAAGGAGGAGGAGGAGGAGGGACAACCTTCCAAGACTTCAAATTGCGAATGATGGATGGATGCGATAGACGTCAAACACACATTGTTGATTTGAAATTATTTTTTGCAATTGGTAAACCCATATACAGCACAACTGCATCGTACCAATGGCAACGGCTTAACTTGAGCTTAAGCAGCCCAATTATCCAACAGATCATTCAATTTGAATCTGTTCATTCAATTATACCTAACAGATCCAAATAAATCGATAACAGTAACCGACTTATATCAAAGGTAGAAATCCCATTCTTCCCACCTTGTCTGTAGACGTGATCATACCGTATTATCATGCACGTAATAAAGTCTATCCTCCATACTTCTCTCTCATCTTATTTAGCGCTATTGGATCGATATTGATGACTAACTTGATATCTATTTTACCCTAATCATGGCTATTCATTAGCCATATGATACTACCACACTGATGAATAGAAATTAGACCATCGATGAGAATTCATTTTCATCGACTAAGTAAAGAAATAAATAAGAACATACGAGTATTGCTTTGATCGCATGAATAATAACACTCTTTATCCAATGCCAATTGATTTGAACAATACTGTATAGCTATCTCTATCTGCCACATAAACTGATGATCAAAAGCAGGTAGGAAATGATCCAACGTCGCCATGGATGGCTTTCCAATCCATGATAATTTACTTTACGAGAAAGGGATTTTTAAAAATGTCCCAAATATTTCTCTTCACCGACTTTGCAAACATCCATTGTAATAGGGTGTTTTTGTAAGGGCGAGCATAAAACGGAAGCCCAATGCAATGGAGACTGTGTCAATTCGTCATTTATAGTCACAGTTTTAAAATACAAGTATTGTTTATGGATAAAAATGGTAAGCTACAATTACTTTCAAATGATACAATCCTATTGTCGGTACTATTTGCCATGATACTTTTGGATAGTCTCTTCTCTCTATAAGCCGACACCGCCATCGTAGTCAATAACTTCAAAATTCAACATCATGTTTTTATCCCGTCTTTCTGTCATGTAAGTACTTTTTACATAGAAAGCGATATGGAGTAAGTAGTCGACAGTCGAAAGCTAATGTTGACACATTGATATTGCCTATTTTGGCATATTCTACTCATTGACTGGATAAATGTAGCACCGTCAGGTTTTATTTTGCGCTAATAAAAAGACTAGGAAGGAAAAGACGCATTCAATAATGACCGATCGATTCGATGCAATGAACAGTAGAATTTCTCTTCCCTTCCCTTCTGAACCATGATAATAAAAGGTTGTGAAAATTGCATCTTAGACTATTTCAATCAATCGCTAGATTAATCATAGTAAGTGGATATCGAAATAGTCGTGAAATATGATCTACCTTATTTTGCAATTATTTCTTCACGCCGTAGAGATTGCTTTTGAAGTAAAATAAACTGAGAACAATATTGCATTGTACCCTTGGATAGTGTAGAGAGAGAGTGAGAAATTAACCCTATCCCATCTTGCTGACTGGTCAGTTGTAGACGGATAAGAATAAATGAAAGCTTACCGCAACCATTTTTAAATAAATTCAATCCTGTATATCAATAAGTTCAAGTAGCCGCAAATGCGGCTACAAATTAACCTCAGATACGACATGTAATTTTCTCGACTGTTTTTTTGTGTCTATATGATACAATATCGGACATTCTTTTTTTTTGTATAGGCTATTGCAACATTTTATTGTTATTGATCGATGATGTTTACACTAACATCTTTGCAAGTTAGCCTTGTCTATTTTGGCGTTTTATTCTATGCATAAACTATTTCTACTCCTTTTCCCTTACACTACAATGACTACGTTGATTAGTAGTAATTCTAACGAGTAATATGCATAAAATAAATGATAGCGTAGCAGTTAAATTTTAGTCCGCTCGACTGCCTTTAAATTAGGATGGAGAAAAGGAGAGAACAAGAGCATTGTATGCGCCCCCCCTCCTATTTCTTTTTCATTCCATTCCAACTATTTATCTTCATCTAATCAGAGCACAATCAACCTTCACTGATACAGGTGATCGAAGAAGAAAAGAAAAATAACTACATAGACAAAATACGTATATCAATTAATGATGATTTAGACTCCTACGATTCTCTACTATACATACTTGCAGAAATAAATAGAATAAAAGATAAATAATAGAATTAAAAAATAGATCAAAAAACAATAGTAGAAGAACCCAACAGGATGATAGACGCTGTAGCAAATCCGACGATGAGCAGCCATTAAATTAATATTAATAAAATTTGGCATCGTTCTATTTCTATCATCACCGACTACATCTCTTGTTATTTAGATTAGATAGATACGAAAGCTACAATACTGTAAGTAATCTGCATTCATATTCATCATTCTTAGCTAGATTGGGCGATTCATTATGCTATTCTAGCCACAGAGTCTTTCTATCTTGTGCTCATAAGTCGATAGGTCTGTAATAAATAAATATCGCTATTTCGATCATCATCAACTGCATCTACAATCATAGGTGCGATTATGTCTTGAAGTTTGTATCAGATGAATTCCAAATTAAAATAATTTCCATCCATGTCCAAGAGATTGACCGACCGACTTAGGACGCTATTTTAGGAATAGGATCTTTCCATCTTTGTACAATAAGTCCATACTAGGGCGTTACCTTAATCCCAAATGTGTGTATTTGGTTATCAGGAAAAGATCAAAAATTCCTTTACGCTAAATACATTATCAACCTGCTTTCCGTCTTCAGTGATGAAACCAATCATATGTAAATAACATTTCTATAGATTGAATTGAATAGCCTGCGACTAATTAGATTATCCTACTAAGTACATTAGGCTGAAAATTGGCAACTGGTAATTAATCAATTTTAGTTTGCAAAGATTTTCCTAATAAGTAAAGTGATAGGAGAAGAAAGATAAGAAAAATTCTCTTTTCCTTTAACTGTAACAAATATCAGTACTTTCCTTGATTAATAGCGAAATAAATGATGGCTATATTATATTTTGATATTATAATAAATTAGACAGCTGTAATTGCAATAAATAAATAAAGTCATCATACTAGGCTATAGCGTAGATCAGATTGAAATGAATATCTAGAAATTAATCAGTATTCTTAAATTAAAAAGCGCAATAGGAAGAAAAGTGAGAAACTATTTCCTTTCTGTTAGCTACAACAAATATCAACACTTTCCTTCATTAATATTGAAATAAATGATAATCTAATTACATTTTGATACTTTTAATTAGATAGCCATGATTGTAATAAATATATCATCATACTAAATCTATCATAGATTACATTAAAATGGATAAATACAAATTAAATCAGTGAATAGAAGTTAGAAAAATAACATGGGGAATCGATGGAAAAATTCCTCTCTATTAGCATAGGAAATATCAACCCTCTTTCTTTGATTGATGGTCAAATAAATAATAATTTGATTATAACGATATTCTTTAGTTGTACGTTGATTTACTACAGTTGAAAGACCGCAAATATGTGTAATAAGTTCTCGAGTAAATGTAGAGACAACGTATTAGCAAAGAATAGAACTTTATTAAGACTTATAAGTGCGAACTAATAAAATATGGCAGCAACGCTCATATATATATAATCATATGAATATAAAGTACCGCTTATGTGGGTATGCTGCAAAGTGTAGATTAGATTGAAACAGGTAGCTAATAATCAGAAAAGTGAATTGTTTACTATGGAGATGATAATCTGTTTAAACCAGAATAATGGTTGAACTTGCAACTAAGTAATAATGTTGTACAGTTATTTTTCTACAACGTACAATTATTCATCACAAATTAATTCGACAGATAGCTTTTTTCAGTAGACTAGCTATCAATCTTGATATAAACATATTAACATGAGCTAGCATGCTGCAGACATAAAAAATAATATTATACTGAGCATGATTAGGGCTGCAACTTGATTTAGATAAACTTTCTCTGTTAATATTAGATATAATTTCTTCATTTAGATTTCAAATCGATAAAAGGTAATTTTCGTCTTTTGCTATATACTCAGTACACCGTCGTGGTTAAATTCGGTAAAAAGACCAGGATTTTCTAATTTGGAATGATTGGTAGTTTATTAAACAAGGGCCCAAAATTAATAGGCTAATAATCCCTTGTTTATCATAGGCTTAATTTCATCTTAAACCCGATGCCATTGCTGCACTCAATCTTGAAATCACACTGTAGTCAAATTGAATTGCATTAATGTAAATGTTTCTATTGACCAGATAACTTATAACTAACTCAGTTTTCAACATTATTTGTCAGATTTCAAGCGTAAGTACATAAAAATTTTTAGTTTACTTAGACTGTACTGCCTCATTACTTGAAGGAATGAAGCAAGAAAAATTTGACGAGTTTCTAACTGTCCTCATATTATGCAGTATTGATATACAAAAGAATGCGTTAACTTGTTGATATCTTACCATCGTTTGGCAATCTCTGACAATGTTATAGTTGGGTCATAAGCTATATCTAACTCAGTTAATTATAAATTATGAGGTATTACAGTAGCTCATTCTGGCATCATCAACGTATTAATAATTCTCAGTAACAATTTCATTAATGGATTATAGTCACTTTTCAAGGACTACAGTACTCTGTACTTAATTCATATTTATCATCAACCAGCTGGAAGAGTCGAATAATTTGATCTAAATAATAGTGCAAGATTCCGGTTAACGATTTATACCACCTTTAGTTTTAGATGAACGGAATTGATCAAATACAGATGATATCTTTCAATCATATCGACATAGATCCGATTTGATAATTTTACGAATCTTCCAATCCTATCTTCTAATACACATATACTATCCTATGATCGATGTAATATCTAATTTTAACTTCAATTAATTTTTTCTGTGCGCAGACATACGTCAACGATTAACTGATCAAGCCAAGGCTATCGAATTTCGAGCTGATAGTGAAATTGCTGTATTAGGTGATATACAAGAGTACTTTAAGAGAAAGAATGAAATTGAAATCGAATATTCGCGGATGTTAGAGAAATTAGCAGATAAATTTAAGAGTAAAATCGCCAAGTAAGTCAAATTTAGCGACGGCTACTTTTGATCTGTCGCCAATATGCGAGAATAGATATATTATACGAGCAATATGATATCTGCAGTAATGGCATGCCGCTTGCATATAGAGTAAATATGTATCATGTTTGCAAACTTGTGGCATATTGTATATTTTATAATAACAACAACTATATCATACCAATATAGTGTAATTAGCAACATCTTAAATACACAATATGGCTTTTGTTAAAGTTCACCGACTGAGATCATCATAATTAGTAGCATACTTGCAATCTATATATATTTTAATTTTCCAAGATAAATAATTCTACAATAGGTTAACCCAGAAACTGACACTATATTTTTTTACTTATTGAATTCGTATAGGAAAGATGCAGCTTGCGTCTACGATGTATTCAATAAACAACTTAGTGTCGATAAATCGAGGTGTAAACTTCGTACGTCACATTATAAAAAACTGAATGCTCTCTATGTTGGTCAAATTGGCCTACTTGGAAAGGAAATACATTACATTAGCAAAAAAGTACATCATCATCTTTTGAATTTCATGCATTAAATTTTTCCTATCGAATATAAATCATATAGTTTTGAAACGTTAAAATTAAAGGAATAGACAACAATTTTATAATGAGCATTATTTAGGTTGTATATTTATTTGCAATGATTAATTACTTAGTGTCGAGAAATTCAAAATCTATCACATGAAGAGTTTATGCGTGTGCTCCAAGGATTATTAGGGGTAATTTGCAATAACTATATATAATTCTATCATTTTAGATGATTCAAACCAATTCTTCTTTAAAATGTTAATATTAGAAAGGTAACGATAAATTTACACCCATATTCAGTACTGAGGATTTTTCTTCTGCGTACAGTCTATGAAAAATTATCACATCTGTCAAGCTCAAAGCGAAAATGTTCAGCGTAAACTCTTTAAAAAGCAAAATAAATCTACTCTAAATCCTGGAATTATGAGAAGGCAAAGTCGTAAAAAAAGTGACCGTATCATACATAAGGTATGCAAACGCCATCTACTCAGCTTCGATAATAAATTTATTCTATGGAAAAATATTGACTTAAGTTATTTATCATATTAATTTTTTGAAGCACTTTTTATTGAATCTATCAGACTATGCAAAAATGTTCTGCTGCAAAGTTAAAGAGTATCAATGCTAGAAATGACTACATCCTGAATTTATCCGCCGCTAATGCTCTCTTTAGGGCTTACTTTGAAACTGGAATTCCCGAACTGCTTTCAGTTAGTTTTTATAAATAATTACCATAGCCGCTATTGCATCTTTTCTGTATACATATTGTATGTACAAGTAACTGAAAAAGAGATCATATGTTATATTCTTATAGCGCAACTAAACTAGTAATTACAATTGAACATAGAATAACATAATAATGAGTCAAGAGTTTTTAAATATGAAAATTAGCACTGATATACTCCTATAACGATGACTATTCACTTTATAGAGCTTAGATTTAGGCTATCAAAAAGAAGTTAGCCAGATTTTTGCCTCGTGTAATAATATGGAGAAAAAAATGCATAATTGCAACTTTAAATTAATTGAGTCTTACTCGGAAGATATCGATCAATTTAGAAAAGAAGATGTAGGGAAAAAATTTCTCAATGATAATCATCAAATTTTTGAAACATTTGAAGATCTAGAGTTTATCCCTCAAGGTGATGACGAGGTATGTATTTGCACTAGTATATACATAAATAGGATATTCTTATTATACAAATTGTCCAAGAAAACAATGTATGTAATTCTTTTATTCGACAAATTTGACAAGGTGAAAGAAATTGAATGCAATGGTGCCGAAGTATTTAATGAATTGGATTCTCGATATCTAGAATCTGATAGAAATAGACGGGGATTAAAAGATATAGTTGATGAAGTAATATAATAGCTATTTCTGCGGCATACGTTGCATACTGATAACGATAACAATTTCTTTAATATTTTAAGACTGAAATATCTACTGAAATCGTAAAATTTTTATTGTTCTTACAGGCAAAAAATTCCTTACGGCAACATTTAGAATCATTAACTAGTTACGGCTTGTTATCTAGTGAAGATAAAGATGATGTTACTGACAGCTCTACACTGGAAGCTTCTTCTGTAGATTTAAATATCAATCCAACTATTATTCAATGTTTTCAAAATCGTCAACAATCACAGTCTGCATATTTGAAGGTAAATTACCTAAATTTGTCTCTTATTGATCAGTAAACGTTCTCTATGCGAACAGATATAAGTAATTTAATGTATCGTAAAGATGCAGTATTGGTAATAAATAATATTTTGCAAATGAATAGAATTTTAAGGTATATTGCACCTCGAAAATGCTCCTAACAATGACGGATACAGAACATCAAATATTAGTAAATTTCATAGGTTAGTATCAATCTTGCTTTTTTTCCTCACTGACTGCATAATCGCCAGCCAGCTTTCAATTGGATTACGTTTTAACAATCTACGTATTTTGCCAATGCTAATTATTCTTACTTTTACCATAGGAGTCGATGGAGTATATACCCCTCGCATACATAAAACGTATGATCCTTTTAATTTATAGTTAGACCTACTATACTATATATGTATAGAAAAATCACCTTTACGATTATCAATTAACCACTATAAAACCTAAATATTTACGTTTTAGTGCTTCTGACCAAAGTTTACCTAAAACTTTTGGAGGAGAAGTTATCGAATACCTCGAGGTAACTATGTTAAGTTCAGCAACTAATTGAGACAACGATTAATGATTAGCTTTCTAAATTAGGCGACAGGACGAGCAATTCCATTAGTGGTGGAAAGCTGCATTAAATACATTACTGTTCATGGTAATATCATAACTACTAATATATTTACAGTAAACAAGTAGCCTTAAAATAATCCATATTTGTACGGAAGCAATATCCTCCTTTATTATGTTTAATACATCATCGTTAAATATTTTGATTTAATGCTTCTCCCAACAGGACTAGATTTACAAGGGATTTTTCGATTATCTGGGTCATCAGTTGATATTAATTCGTTAAAAGAGCAGTTCGAAAAAGGTATTCATAGTTAATTATCGGAAATTGATTCCTTTATCATATGCTTGCATGTCTAAAGATGAAATTTTTTTGATCGATTTGACTACAAAATAGGCGAAGATCCTTTAAAAGATGTGAGAGATGCGAAATATGTACATGCTGCTGCAGGCGTTTTAAGATGTTATTTTAGAGAATTACCAACACCCCTTTTTCCATCTTCGCTATTGGAAGATCTTATAGACTGTTTAAGTATGTAACGCACATCATTCTTTAACTCTTTTACTCTTTACGATATAAAATTAATCAATACCTAGCAATTAATACATAATTATTTCTCTTAAAGAACAAGAATCATCTGAAAAGAGAATTGTAGAAATTCGATCTGTAATATCAGATCTTCCACATATCGTGGTAGTAGTTATGCGCTTGCTTTTTAACTTTCTTCGTCTGTAAGTATTTCGTACCGTCTCAAGTGTATATATCGCATATCTATCGTATCTAACTTATCTTGATAAAATTCTATTATTACGTATCAGGGTTAGCGAGCACGAAGAACAAAACAAGATGACTGCGGCAAATTTATCCCTTGTTTTTGGACCTACATTGATGCGACTTACTGAAGAAAAATTGATTACTTACCAAATGCAAGTGAATAATATTATGGAGATTATTATTGAAAATAGTGAAGCCATATTTCCTCAAGAAGATGTCAGAGTGAAGACGAAATTGGTAGATCTAGCGAGTATTCAACATTTCATAAATAGAGCTAATGACGAAAGAATGACTTTCTTTGATGAAAACGAAGAATATGCGGAAACTTTTCAAGATGAGGTCGGTATTGGAAACAACATGATATAAAAATAGTTTTATTTTGAAATCCAGTTCCCTCAGAGTGACAGGCTTTTTCTAGAATACACATTCATTAATTTTGGTAATATTTAACTGCATGATAACAGTGTGTTGATGTATCCTTCTCTCTCCTTCTTTATATCCATGAAATTGATTAGCAGGTAACGCACGACAGAAGCTCACTAACTATACCTAACTCTCGGCGAAAGAGATCCAAGATTTTATCTGAATTAGATTTCGGAGAAATAAGACATAGGCGAGCTAGTACAAAATCAGATGATGGTGCCTCATTTACAGTTGGTTCAGATATGCAAGGATCATCTCCAGTATCAGTTGATAGCAGCAGTGCGATAAGTCAAATCAGCGATTCTTTTGGTACGGCTATTATAAACAATCACTATAGTTTCCTAATTGTATTCATAAATTGCTCAGATTGTAACCTGATGTGATACGCATTGTATAAATTTAGTGTATTACTATCGTTAAAAGTGAAAGATGCAATAAAATGGTAATATTTATCTTCTAGTTACATCGATCATCGCAGTTGCAAAACGTGATCATGAACGCGAAGGCGATAATGAATTATCTTTTAAGAAAGGCGATGTCATACATATTATATCGCGCTCTAACAATGGCAGTTCGATTGGAGTTTATAGCGGAAAGCAAGGAGCAGTTAAAGATGAAGACATTGAATTTGCGGATGAAAATTATTCTAGTAGCCCGGTTGGTTCCCTTGATCTGCCTAATTCTAGTTCTGTTATAAACAAGATTGAAAATAGCAAGGCTAACCATTTTAATAGTGTAAAGTTGCAACGTAGTCCAGTCCTAGGTGGACAATCAGCCCATCCATTAGAAAGTAGTGAAGAGGTGCAATCGAATGAAGAAAGAGTAAATGGAGCCAACAGTAATGAAAATGAATCTACGGTAAAAGATGATGGAAATGTTAGGTCGATAAAGAATGAAGATGGTAGTTCCGATGCTGATAAGCAACCGAGGCGAAAGAAAAAAAGTTTCTTCTCCAGTAGCCCGTTGTTTAAAAGACAGTCTTCACGGACTACATTAATTAAAGAAACAGCAGCAGCTCCTAATCCCGATCCGGTTGATGCTGCTCATGAAACGTCCAATAATGTACCAACCACACCGCAAAGTCATTTCTAAGAGATTTATTGTCTAGGTTATAATATCTTTTAGCCAACCTTAAATTGGATATATCATACATGCATACACTACATTTAACATATATGTATACGATATATATATATATATACGTTAATTTACATCACTACTATTATATTTGCACATTGTGAGAGGAATACAAAGTGTCTGAATTATTAATATGTATGGAATTATGATTGACTATGAAAGAAAAGGATTAAAATATATTCTGCTAACGGTATGATTACTGAAGCTTTATCAAGTTGATAAGTTAACATTGTTAACAGATTAAACTGTAATAGAAAAAAGGCGTAATTAAATTACTTCTTCATCAATGAATGGCGACACGACGGAGCTTTACTTGCACTGATGATTAGAACATTACATGAATTATATTATTTTAATTATTATTAAATTATGTATTAATTGTGGAAACGGGCCCGTATATAATGATTTTCTTGTTAACTAGTGCAGTAAAATTTTTGGCTTGTACATGTAATGATAACAATGAGATTTCTGGTATGCTGGCATTTACTATCTAGATAGTTTGAAATTAGACAAGCTGTAACAGATATGTTAGTTTTAAGTCAATGCTTGCCGTAATAATTTATTAAAATTTTTTTCTGTTGTTGGTTGATAACAAATATGAATGTTTGAATTGATATTTCCTTGGTTTAACGAGCGAATGGATACGTTCTATTTATGAGTATTCGCATATCAATGTATTATCTTTTGCTATCGCAAGAATTTCGATCCATGTTATTTAACAAGTTGCTATTTTAAAATGCTTTTGAGTTATTATATCAGGTATTTATAAAACATAAACATTTAACATCAATCTAATAGCAGATAATTAGATAAATACCGTGACTACTGAAATCTATCCATACTGCATTTGACAATTATGCGTACTGTATACTGTAATATATGATAATAATATAAAACTAGATCACACTAATAAACGATAAACTTAAATCTTAATATGGATGTTTTGAAGATCAGGATCATCATGACGTGCTTCGATGTCGGCTTATTTCATTTATTTAGACTTTCATTTTTAAGAAAATAGCTTAGATTACTTCAGATTTACATACTCGTCTACAATATGACTCATATAATATAAGGCATATTCAGTTATTATACGCGTCTGTTAGTGCGTATAGTATTGCTTATTCTGTACTATATAGAAAAGCGGCCTTTTACTATTAGCCTTTCATACTGTCAAGGTCATTTTTACCACCCGGATACAACAACTATACCACGCTCGTGTTAACGGCTAATGATCCAAAATGTTTAACACACTACCCAAATACCAAAGGCCTCTAATTGAAGACTTTAAAGGTAAGGTCTAAAACTAAATGTCAAAAATGGAGATCACATGATACTACTACCGAAAGCCCTATCGACGTCTCTTTCTTCGTCGCCACTCTCGAGTTCCATGTTAATTAACAAAAGAAATATCTCTGCCTTCAAGTAGACGTCTAGTGATGCTAAACTATTTGCCAAGCTACCGGCAGGGATTACTAAAGAGAGAAGAGAGCTGCAGGCATACCAAAGGCCTCTAGGTGAAGACTCTGAAGGTGAGATCTAAAACCGACTGTTAAAAATAGAAACTATTTCAATTACTCTTACGAGTACTAGAAGAACTGTCTAAATGTTCATGAGTGTCCATTATGTCTCGTCTGTACTCTGTAGAGGCGGGGTGTGTACTGCATAGTATTTTACCTTTGACTGTAGTTTACCATACTGTACCAAGGTCCAAATCGGGTGAAAGAGTAGCTAGACTGTTCTAAGCGCCAAGCGTATTGCTACTGATAATTTCATTGGCCCACGGAATGATACGTCATCTATATAAACAATAGAAAATAACCGTTCTAAAAATTTTGAATTTTGACACGTGCAAAAATAGTATTTCTCGTTCGATTTTCGACATACGCTTAATCATGTGTCTCATGATTGAGGTAAATAAAACTATTTTAACTCAGCAAGACGTCATTGTGACTGGTAAACATCATCGCCTGTTGTACTCATTTCAAAAAATTAAAAAAAAAAAAAATTAAGTTACCGCCTGTGCCATATTAAACCAAGATTCTAGCAGGAAGCATCATCAGCAGTAATATTTCGGTAACGGATACTATTTGTGATCGTGTAGTAACATACTATCCACTAGCTGCCTAGACGTATCTGCTATACGTCGAAAATTATCAACAAGGTCACAATACTATAGCAATTTATTTGTAATTAACATTAGCAAAGCGATAGTACACGATACGTCGCCATAAGTACAAAGTTGAATACAATCATATTGTCGACGATATGCCAAGAAATTTCTATAGCAGATCAGTAGATCAACCGTTGATCAATAAGGAAGTTATTCTATTGGAATGCTACTTATGTAGTAATCGGGTATGTAACCGAGGAATGAAAGCAATCTTGTTAGCAGATTCCAAAGTGGAACTTTACTCGACTGATCGTGTACTAGCAAAGTAAGGAGAACCATTTATCAATAGAATTCCGTCATCAAAATTCTCTAAAATAGTATCTATCTTTCAATTAATTATTTTCTAAAATAATAGCAATAGCAATAGCAGTTACCGCAATCAATAAACTATTTATTTAAATACTACAGTTTTACTAAACGTGTGCAGTATTATATCAACGATAACTAACGAGTATTACCAAATACTTATCGATCTGCTGATAAATTTTCTCTACAGTGCAATTCAGTTGGTTGGAGATGACTATACTACTAATAAATGTTATTGTCGAATTCAAGATATGGCCTGTTCGATATGGTACTGTATTTGAATAGATAGAATAATCAATCCATTAAAATTAGTGATTTTTCGGATAGTAAAGTAATTCATTATCATTTGCATCATTGCATTAGCGGAAATATTGTAGGATATCATGTTACCATGCCATGTAAGTCATGTATGCAATCTTGCAATAACGGCCATTTCTGGATTTATCATGCACAAGCTGTAAACTCATCTTCAAGATTGAACGATGACGGTAAATTATCGTTAAACACAAGCTAAATAATAAATCTTTGCGTTATCGTATCTCATATGAATTGTTTATCATCACATTTGAATGAATGGGATTAACATTCATATTACAGTATAGTATTCCGTACCAGCTAGTTCTAGTATTATTCATCATCAGCTACCTTATTAAGTAGTAAATATAAAAGTATCCAGTGAAATTTGGGCTACATCTATTATAGTATTGAAAGCTACATAGTGATGAAAGCAGAATCATTATTGTTTAAGTGCTTTAGCCGATTATGCAGTAATCGAATAAAATTTGAGTAAATTTATGATATCAGAATGTTTGTCCGATTACCTTTCGGGCTACTTATAAAATAATTTTGTAATCTATCCATATCTAATTTGTATTTAGTAGTTGTTAATAATCCATCAGAACGATTTGCATCGTTAAAATAATTATCCACGAATAGGGAACCTTGGTTTAGTAAAATAATATGGTTTTAAGTTAATTTAAACGAAAATATATATTTTGTCTACTTATAATGGCTCTAATTAGACATTTGATTTAAAACTATAAGGTATTTCTTCCTTCATATTACCTTACATAATTACAAAGTACAGTTATACAAGAATATTTGTTGAAGTATCTTTAAGACTTTGTGCCACCTTACGACGTACGTATATAATTTCTAAAACACTTTAAATAAATAGAATATTTATTCTTCAATACTAGGCAGTAACATGAGCTGGGAAGAGCTAACAAACTCAAACAAAATTACTACTCTAAATGAAAGCCCTCATTCATTTATCTTGTGCGGTAGATAAGAAGAAAGTGCTAACTGAAAGCTTAAAATACATCGAAGATTCTGTTATAAAAGAAATTTTAATTCATACTAAAAATGTACCCACCGTTTACGGCTAAATCTTTGAAATGACAGAGCTCTATTTAGATACCTATCTACACATGTACAATACAGTGTATATCATGTCATCATTAGGAATGAGACTGTTAGGAAAGCCTTATTACTGGGAGTTTGAATTAGCAGCACAGTAGCCGTGGTTTCAAATATTACGTGTATATGCATATTTTAATATCAATGTAACTGACCTTAGAAGTTATTTATTACTAAACGATATCCTTATTATGCAATATTGCGAAATTATAAATATATGCCATGCTTACATTAATATGAAGTGTGTCATTTTTAGGTAATAGATACATATAGTCTAGATTAACTTTTTTTCTAGTACTTGTCTTAGTCATTCATAAGATATGTTGGAAACAAAAGAATGAACAATAGTAAATAATATAACTCGACTTAGCCTGTATTTGGTGCTTAAATGATGTAAATATTAATTATATTTCCTTAACGACAGTTACACATACTTCAAACTGTCAATAAAAATATTATCTACACTTTAAAATTTCATTAATCAGAATACGTCAAGTGTTAATCTGTATATTCAAAATTATTTTTACTAATAGATTTATTTAATTTATCGCTCTGTATAACCCGACATAGAATGTAAATTTTAGGCTTAAATAATTAAACAGTAATCCACTGGACAGATATTTTATTCCGATCTGCTAGAGCATATATTCGATCATATCAAATCCAGAATTTGCCATTATTAGCCAATATTTTAAGTAGTTATTACAAATCTTAATTAGAACAGTGCATTGCGGTCTACATGCGTACATATATATGTAATACACTACCAGTAAACTGCATCGAATTTTCGGGTCATCATGGACAATTTTTTATGTACTTAAAATGATTAGTATACCATATAATCGCATTATTTAGCATCAAATCAATGAACATTCTAAAAGATCCTGAGGTGCGTATACAGAAGATACGGGTAAAATAACGTATCGCTGATTAATTGCTACCAATAGTTTCTTACTGTAATTGGTTAAGTATTAATATGTCAATGATTAAATTATAGGATTATATCTAGAAGATAGATTTGTATGCTTTAACAGTTACATACGTATAGGCAGTTCTACTCCTTAAACAAATCACTATATAATAAAGAAACATCCTTATCAACATAATAACAAGCATGGTATATTTAGAACATGACATTAAATCTGTACATGTATGATCTTTCAGAAACTGCTATAAATATTATGTAAAATTTAAAAAGGCTGTAACATAACTCCATAATAAGAGAGTACATTAGGAATCAATATTTCGTTACATGAAATACAAGAAAGAACTTCATTGATATTATTTCGATGCAAATAACAACTTTGATATAATAGTTGACCCATGCAAGTAGTCTAACTTTATAAACGTGAAAATTTGTACATAACTGCAGGTCTACTTTGCCAAATATACTTCGTCTCCATTATGCTGTGTATCTTCTAACCATCTATGCTTTAAACAGTCCTCTGCCGTGACACGATTTTCCGGAACATAATCTAGCATTGGAACTATAAAGCTACTCATATCTTCTGCATCTTTCTCAGTCCAATTATACTTTTCTCTTAGCACATCTACTAAAGACCTACAATGCACAACACAAAGTATAACTCGTTACGCAAGAAATTCGTAATTTTAAACTAGCGTACGGTACAACAGTTATAGCAATTATACCAAGGTTTTAACTTTTGAATGTATTTCAGCTCGCCTATTAGGAAATTGGAAAACGTAAAACATAAAATATAATATTGACTACGTATCAAATTATATTAAAATTATACCACCATATACGAGGTATACGTTATTGTAATATAATTTAGAATTAAATTTATACCCTTTTTATTGAAATATTCTTTGGAATATTTGCCACCTAGTGCAACATGTTTTGGCACTCTTCCTAATAATTCAATCATTTGTGCTATGTGATCTGCGACAGAAATAAGTAAACATGTTATTCTGATGTAATAAGTAATTTGGATAATGTACGTTCAGGGTATTACAAAACCTACCATCATCCCTGCCGTAACCTTCACCAGAGTGAGGTTCAAATAAATAGTCACCAGTTACTAATTCAAAAACCTACATTGAACAAAGAAAACGAACGTTGTTACTTGCAACAGTCAGATAAATACTCTTTCCCTAACATTTTTCTTATATATACACTATTAATAAATTAATAGTACAATATTATTAAATCATACAAATCTTTCGTCAATTTTTTGCCGCTTACCATACATGCAACGCTCCATATATCTGCAGGAGTGTCATAACCTGATCCTAATAGTACTTCTAAACTGCGATACTGACGTGTTTGTATGCCATCAGTAAAATGATGATACTACAAAATACAGAACCTTATAAGTTACGTCTTCCAAAATTAATTACTGTTAATAAAGAAAAATTGTTACTCACAGTCCAGCACGCATTTCCTAGGTCGGCAATTTTTACATTGATCGGAATAGTAAAGGGATCAAAGTCATCCCAACTTTTTTTATTCTTCCACTTCTCTTCTGAGAATTTTATACGATTGCATGTAACGGTCAGTTACATAATAACTGTCATTTTAGGTATTCTATGAATTAGTTACCTGCTAGTTCTGCATTATCCCCACCTTCAACGACAGTCATAATATTTTAAAAATATAGATATCAGATTGCAATGGTAACGCGTAAATACAATACAAAAATATCGATAACTCATAACTCATAAAGCAAAAAAGTTCACCTTCTGACGTATCATTTACTCCTGCATCTGATACATCGCTTGTATTATCTTCGCTTGGTTTCTCTTCACTTGCAGACACTTCTTGAGAAGCAGTTTCTGCTGCTTTTTTTAATTTCTTTTTAAGCTTCTTTTTCTTATTTTTAGACATTTTACCCTAAACATAATAAACGCCGTATTATCGAAATATTATAGCCATACTAATTTCTGTTCAACAATAACACTTACTGTTGAAGCGCTTGAATGATCGTTAGGCAAATTGCTAACTATAATAAAGAATAATTTTTATGATTAATGCACATAGGAATTATTCGTATAGTAATGGCGTAGTCTACTAACTAAAAAGCAGTACACAATTATGACTATGACATGTTGATAAATACTCGGAATTAAATAAGGTGGCAATTATATTAGAAACGGTATGAATTAAATCATACAGAAGCTATGTAGACAAGGTGTACATTTATATCATTTATTACAGCCATTACTGCAATTATCTTAACTACACCATCGATGCAGTTACGAATACCTTGAGATGACGTTAGCTTCCCCGAAGCAGATGCCTTTTCGACATCATCGACTAACATTTGTATGTAATCATCATTTACACAAACTAAAATATTTTCTGGTTTTATATCTGTATGTATTATTTTACATTCGGTATGCATGTAGTGCAGGCCAAGCAATACCTAATTAAAAATTGTAAAAGACTCAATGATTACAACTTAAGATATTGCATAAATGGTTCAGCCACTCCATAAGCATAAGGCTAGTAAATATTTAAATGTTACAAGTAACAAATTATACATCTCAATTTACCTGCTTCGTAATTCGCTTTACCATAGGTATCGGTAAACCTTTGTAGTTGGCTCTAATAATAAGTTTCAATAGATTGTAACCCAAAACTTCAAATACCATGCAAATATCTGAGATTTATCTATGTTAAAGAAATTGATCTACTGAATTAATTGGATTTCAATCTTAACTGAACGAAATAGAATGAATTAAAAAAATTTAGATTGCATCAGTAACAAAAATAAAATGATCAAAAAGAAAGTTGGGACTAATTTAAGTTAAGGATACGGGACCCATTGGCTCCAGTAACTTTGAAATTGTCTAATAATTGGACAACGTATCCATAGCCAGGATCAGTTGGATTACGAATATGAACCTATTTTTTAGTATGAGAGAAAATAATAAATATGGAATGCAATTAAATACCAGTTCGAAATAAATCATAAAAGATTTATAATATCGATCCTTAAATATAATTGAAATTATAATTGCAACCAAAAAATTGAACGCGATTCATACTGAAAAGATATTACTTAGTTGGATTACAATCAGTCATTGTTTTTACAACAGAACGTACCTGTTCTAGCAACTCGATTTCGTCTTTTGCCGCTTCTGTATAATGGGAAGCACTCTTGACAATTTTTAACGCTACGTATCTTCTAGACCTACCAAAATATCAATTTTATAACAAGTAATTCCCTTAAAATGGTCAATGAAGGAACAATTAAAGTTGCATAAGGAATAATAACGTTAGACTCTTGACTTGGGGAATTTTTTATATCAGCAATATAAAGTAAAGAGTTTACGCTGTAATCGCACTATTACCACTTGCCAGCTTAATTTATGACAAATTACGTTAGTTTTAGTAGTGCATCCATATATCAATTGGGAGGTACATTTAGTAACTATTAAAACAGATTCTTCTTAATAATATGTACTTGACAAGAGAAGTAATATTTTTAGAATTAAACATTATAAAAAACTATAAGACATGCACTTACTTTGAACTCCAACATAACCACACAGTTGAGAAATGACCCCAGCCAAGTTTACGAATTACGCGGTAGCTATCATTAAAAACATCACCAATATTTACAGGGTGATAACCACCTACGTGATGAAAGGATAGACATTAAATAGTTATGATCGATTAATGATGATTACAATTTCTTTAAAAATGTATTTATCAGTAATACAGACTATTCTTCTGTACAAATTTTGTGATTATATAAAATAAATAAAAAAATTTGTGCAAGCCAAGTAGGCAAATACTATTCTATTCTGTAAATGATAATGAACTAATAGAATGAAATCTATAGTTGTAGTTTTCCGTTCAAATGATGAAGATTTTCCTTAAAATATTGCAAGTATTATTCATTGTAAAGATGTCGACGATGGTTTATCAACGAAATTAACACTTAGCTATGATACTTGTACATTAGCTAATAATAATAATAACTATGACGTGCGGACGGTAGTACTACTGAATACATCATTACTGTAAGGAAATAGCTTATTGATGACTTTACGCTATCGCTTGTGAAATATTACCCATACTATATTTTAGGTAACAACTAAAGACGACAGAATTTGAGTATTCATTTTGAATAATTTAAGATTCTACAGTGGAATATGCCCTCCTATAATTTAAGAGTTATCTTACAAAGCTATAATATGATGTATGTAATGCAAAAAAAGAAGGTTACTATTAGTTGAAGAATAATAATCATTATTTTGGTGAAATATTTTTATTACCTTTGCGGTAGTCTTGTGGGCTTTCCTGCTCTTCTTCCGATTCTTCTGGTAGATCATCATCATCGTAACAAGAATCACTGCTACCTCTATCGCTAATAATACCAATGAAATGACCATTTTTTTAGTTTTATATAAAATTTTAAACTATAGACGTTCGGATCAAAATAGATGAAGCATCAAGGGTTATAATCTGCACAATGTCTAACACTAGAGAGACATGAAGTGATGAAAAACGATCTCCATACCTAAATTTTGTTATTAACATTTTAACAACTATGAATATTTGTCAAAGGAATAGCTGAGAACAAAGGTCAATTAAAAAGTAAATACTTGTCTACACCAGTAAGCCATTTACATAGGCCACGTTGATAAATTATATGAACGCAATGCAATTCAAGACTACATCAAATTAACTGTACCCGATCGATGCTTTCTTCATACTGGTTTTATTCTTCTTTGGCGCCTTACCACGTTTCTTTTTACTGGCAGTTGCTCCTGGCATTCACATATTCACATAGATATTAATGAAATAAAGTAGAATGTCAACATCGCATACTGTCTAATGAAACAGTATGCCGGAATTGCGCCAATATCCGTATTACATGACTTTTGTAGATAAACGATGTCAAGAATTCAATTTAATTTATACTGTATACCTACTGTACTTATTATACATACTGTATATATATATATATTAAATTTACCATCTAATGGTACATATAACACCATTACTGCATAATATTGAACTAGCTACACACCATCTCCTGATCCATTACTGCTGCACACCTACAGCGCGTCATTTTATATCAGTTAATAATTAATTAATCTGATTGAAAGGTATCTAACAGTCAGGGAATACTAATGAGAGAATTGTCTCTTTAGTAGTTCCTATAAAACAGTACAGTACTGTCAGTAGGTCGAATAAGAGGTCATAAAATTCGATGTTCGATGCTCCTACACAAAGCTACTAAATTTAATATAATATTTTAACGAAATTGAATCCTTGGTCATTGGAAGGCATAATAGCAAGGCATTCATAACATCCATGTAGTAATTCGAATTTGAATTATTAGTTGATATCATTATAGCAATTCATATTCGGTACGACTACCGAATTGTCAACGAGTAAGTGACTTGCCAATATACGCGTGATCATGTACTGTATGTCAACTCATGTAGGTAATAAGTATTGGATCATTTTTTTGGAGTGTAGGAATTAAATGATTGGATAAAACAGAGATTATTGATTGATATCTGTAAGTGACTTAAGTACAGATATTATGAGACTAATATGCCATACAGAGGTACTTAAGAGTTTAGTGGATGTCCGTAGTCCTGTCAATGTATTGATGCAAGTATGTAGAAAACAAATATTTGATATTTTTGTAGCGTTAAAATTAAAAAATTAGACAAGTTCTACAATGATTTTGATTAATACTTGTAAGTAGAGACAACTTCAGCACAGTACGTAGCCTATATTACACTAGTTATGGTAGTCTGATGAATCAATGGGACGATCTTGTAATCGTCTTACTATTTGTGTGAAAATGACAGAGGTGATAACGGACAGGAAATACAGTCTTCCTATCTATACTGACGTTGAGCTAACTCTGGAGAACTCCAATTTTGTCTTATTACTTACAAAACTATCGTGAAATGAAGTCCACATGATAGTGTATTGTGATTATCATCCATACAGTATACACACTATATCATGCAGTCTATAACCGAGAAAAAAACTCAAACCCATAAAGTTGAAGAATTTCAAAGTTGTGGAATACTACAGCAAAAGCACAAACCTTTCATCATTTTGTATGAGTATTATGAGATTGTTGTGTACAAACACAATTCGATGGTCAAGTATAGCGGCAGTCGACTGATTGGTTATTATCAATAAAACACTCAGGTAGTACAACCAGTAGTACGTCAATATCACTTTTAAAGTTGAAAAGATGGCAAGACGATCCAATGACGAAATCACTGAAGGGTAGAATGAAGAAGAGAAGGATTTAAACCCAGCGCCAAATTCAACCAAATCAACTTAGTCTTGTGTCGCGGTGAACAAATTTTTCAGTCTATCGTGTTACTAGGTACAGTCACGTATGTAGGCTATAGTACAGTATATTACTGTGCAGTAAAATGCGTTACGGAGAGTTAATAGTGGCAGTGAGTTATAGTACTTGGAAGGCTGGTCAAAACGATCTCTACTGTTGACTGCATACTGCACAGTATGCCATTATCGCTATGTATTGCGTACCAGTATTACTGCACGGGGCAATTGGGCAGTATACAGAACACCGGTCACCTGGACAACGCCAGAAAGGTATAGAACAATCAATCATACGGTTAAAACTCTTCTACAGAACACCAGACACCTGGACAACTACCCAACAGTATACATCAATCGCATGGATATTGGATAATGGATATCCATCCATCCACCTTCAAAACTCTTCCCTGCCAATAACTGGTGTAGGATTCCAACACTGTTTTGCACTAAATTCTTCGTCCACTTCGCTGAAACAGTTCCACTGATGCAATCATACGGTTAAAACTCTTCTACAGAACAGAACACCACACACCTAGACAACTACACAACAGTATACAACAAGGTGGATGGATATCCATCCATCCACCTTCAAAACTCTTCCCTGCCAATAACTGGTGTAGGATTCCAACACTGTTTTGCACTAAATTTTTCGTCCACTTCGCTGAAACAGTTCCAATGATGCAATCATACGGTTAAAACTCTTCTACAGAACAGAACACCACACACCTAGACAACTACACAACAGTATACAACAATCGCATGGATATCCATCCATCCACCTTTAAAACTCTTCCCTGCCAATAACTAGTGTAGGATTCCAACACTGTTTTGCACTAAATTTTTCGTCCACTTCGCTGAAACAGTTCCAATGATACAATCATACGGTTAAAACTCTTCTACAGAACAGAACACCGCACACCTAGATAACTACACAACAGTATACAACAATCGCATGGATAATGGATATCCATCCATCCACCTTCAAACTCTTCCCTGCCAATAACTAGTGTAGGATTCCAACACTGTTTTGCACTAAATTTTTCGTCCACTTCGCTGAAACAGTCCCACTGATGCAATCATACGGTTAAAACTCTTCTACAGAACAGAACACCACACACCTAGACAACTACACAATAGTATACAACAATCACATGGATATCCATCTACCTTCAAAACTCTTCCCTGCCAATGACTGGTGTAGGATTCCAACACTGTTCATTAGCCTCATCTGTTTTGCACTAAATTCTTCGTCCACTTCACTGAAACAGTCCCACTGATGCAATGTGAAACACTGCATCAGTAGGACCATTTCAGCCAAGTGGGCGATAAATTTAGTGTAAAACAAATGGGGCTACTGCTCATACATTCATGATAGCGTACAATAGATAGAAAAAGTATCTAATTGTATTTATTTACCGTTCAAAATAAATATTATTATAGACATTAGACGATTTCGCGTTTTGCTTATTAACATTATTTACAGCAGTCTGATATCCACATCACGGTAATACTGCACTTTATACACGTATATGACTCATGATAATCCGGTCTCATATAAATTAGAAAATCGCGTCGAGTTGTGATTGTACATGAGTGTGAAGTTAGTGAACTGGAAATAGTAAAATCAGTATTCTCGTATACACTTTTTCATCAAATAGTACTGTATGTTGTCATTGCAAAATTTTTTTTTATATTTAAGGAAACTCGAGTATGTGAGTAAGGTGAACCTTCTTTTACTGTATCTAAACTACTATCCTATGTTATATTAGCTAAAAGAAAATATCACGAGTGATCTTTACCAGCAGCTTTTAGGCAATCACTAACTGTTTGATAGCACTGTTGCTATCCCATCCCACAGTAAATCCTTATATAACCTTTTCCGTCGTTGTCAAATAGTACTGTATGTTGTCATTGCAATTTTTTTTTTATATTTAAGGAAACTCGAGTATATAAGTAAGGTGAACCTTCTTTTACTGTATCTAAACTATAGTACTATCCTATGTTATATTAGCTAAAAGAAAATATCACGAGTGATCTTTACCAGCAGTACTACGAATACTACGAATACTACGTTAAAAATTGAATACCGCATAGCAATACATATTACTCCTATCTGTAGATACATATACGAATAGAGTAAAATATCTAAATTGCATTTATTCGGTACTCAGACATGGCTATTTCATCACTGAATAGAACCACTTCAATAAAATGCACGACATATCAAATAAATACTCAATTCTCTACACTGCGTACGGTATGCCTCACCTTACTTCCTACAATTCATTAAAAGTTCTACACTAATACAATTGCATATAGATGTGTAGTTATGATACAACACATCGCTGTTTCATCGATGTTATTTATTAACAGTTATCTAGATTTATTCATTAAAGTAGTGATATTATAAAATTTGCACTATTCTTATCCTAACTGAACACTTAACTACAGCTAGTGTGAACACAACTGATGAATTTACTGTCTGCCGAGTAGTCACCCTAATATGTAGTACAATGAAGATCTCCATGGGGTAAATTATAGAAATGAGATACAGTATAACGAAATAAGGTTTACGGTACATCACTTAAAACGTGTTCAAGCGATAATAACATATGGATAGCGCATTCAAAACCAGTATTTCATATTATTTGGCTGATATACAGCATGAAATTTAAGTTATCAAAAAATAAAAATATACTACAGAATAATTCTAATAATTACTTACGGGTAATAGATAATTAAACCAAGGAAACGCTTAATGTAAAATTTCTTTCTTTGATTTTCAGGCCACAGTAACGCACATAACTAAAGTATTGTATTCAAGAAATTTATAATTAAATTATTAACATTGAAAAAATTTAGAGAATGCCAACGTTAAAGCTATAACACTTTTGAACAGAGACGCTTTCCTTCTTAATTTATTTAAGCGTCAGGTTATTATGATCACGAATCACGTTAGAGGTGCAGTAGCGTAGCTAATCATTGTGGTAAATTTTTTACAACTTTAAGCTAAGTAAAATATACAGCAACTAAGAACTAAAGGCTCTTAATTAATTAGTATTTGTTAATTCTCCTTTCTTTCCAAAGTCAGATTAATTATCCCAGTAGGTTAATAAATATGGTTTGAAAATTGAATTACCATTATAAGGACTGTATCCTCAAGTCATGAAATTCTGTCTGCATCCCGACCAGGTTAACCTTCCATAAAATACAGTATATCCATAATATTTATTAGCTGTAAATAAACTCATTGTGGAAATCTGTACCTAAATAAGCAAATCTGAATCTATCAACAAAGAAATATCCAAGGGTATCATAACTTGTTCATACTCACTTCACACTGACATTTATCAGTACGACTTTGATTAAGTCGTCCACGGTATTAATGTCTTATAACACTACCGGATTCTTGATAGTTTACTATCAAACACTAACTATGAACTAAAAGTACTGTACAATAATAAAGTTAACATGAAATCAGGCTAGCTTAATGTTGCCAGAAGTCACTCATGGATCAAAAGTGGAATTAAAAACATGATCTAGCAATTAGAATCATCCACCGTGGTTCCGCGATAATACAATAACTCCTTTTACCGATTTACATTTGCATTTATTTACTCTATATCAATATTATTCGCAGAGCACGTTTGTACTTTCGTATTTGATCATTTAGAGTAACATAACCGTTCATTTAATTTCATTTTTTGAAGATTATGCCACTATTGGTACACTTTCACGATAGCACTTAAGCCGGTCCAGGTAGACCAGTAATTCCCTACCGTATTATAGGCTACGGCAGCGAATTAATTACGGTAGGTATGCTTTACTACAAGTACAGTACCATTACCATCAAACATTTTAAGAAGCGAGTCGGATTGAGCATGAGAATAGTCAACAAAAACTTAATAGTTTTGAATCATAAATCGATAGATGGCCATTACACATACTTATATAGATGGCTATTACACTATATAGTTTGACTAAAGTAAAGAGTTATTAAGGTGGCTTAATTATAAATAAATTTGTATAATTAATTAATATGAGATCGAACTTTAGCGGCGTACATTATATTTTTTTTTTATGTTTTTCATCTCTTAACTTGAGCAGGGTCAATAACGGCCTCAACACGTCTACAAGACAGTAGATGATACGTTTGTTAACTATTCGTGATGTCTGTGATACCCACTGTATATATTATACATGGTGATAGCACAGATAAAAGAAAGTTTTAGTCTACTGCAGTCTATCGATTCAACATTGAAACGGTTTGTCTCCAAATCGCTTTAAACCCTGTCATTGTTACAAACGATTGAAGAGTATCGTCTCAATAAAATAGCCAAGTTACTAGGATGACATCTTACAAATTGAGTTGATCGAGTGGCACTAAAAGAGTATCTTAAGTTGCACCAATCTATATACGGATACATACAATTGGCATTTACAAAATTCCTAAACTGAAATCTATCCTAATAAAGCCGTCAAGCGAACGACTGTTCGCCATTGCCGTAGCTAAGTGAATTAGATGACATACAATACAGTCATCGTAATACGTACTGTACACTTACTATATTATTATGCGATTGATATTCATGACCGTACAATACTGCGCCATTTGATTGACGTCTCACAACAGTAAATAAATTACAAGACTGCAAGTTACATTTAAATTACTGTACGATGAGTTCAAATTGACTTTAGCACATTTCTAGACGCTCCGATTTTGAAAGTTAATAAAAAAATACGATCGATCTAATATGATTCCTTGATTAAATCTTCAATCTACCTACCCCAAATTTCGGATTCAAACCGTCGGACAACTTGCGGTTTTTCAACTCAAAAATATGCAGTACAGTAGACCAGACACTAAATATAAACTAACTAACTAAACTAATTAGAACGACTGTGCTGTACAGTATGTATATATACTGTACTGTATTGTATCGCATAGTAGTGTACTGTACTGTACTGTACTGTATACTAATGCACAGACCGTACAGTACCAGTACAGTGTACAGTATTGAAATAAGAAGAATTATGGTACAGTACTCGATGCTGTAGAATTGACAGTACTGTACACTGTACACTGTGAAGAAATTCTATTCAAATTTTTCAAAATGAAATAAAAGTGCAAAAATTGATGGACTCTATCGAATTTTTTTATAAATCGGTAGCATTACACGTAGAAAATTTTAGGAATTTTGCTGCAAAATCTTAATAAAAGTACGCACAGATTTCTCTCAAAAGAAATCCTACACGCTATATTGTACAAAGTACAGTACAGTATACGCGGTACTGTACACACATTACCCCACAGTACTCGTCAGAAATAATTTACACATGGGTGTAGTGGATCATCAGTCAACAATGGCTATTTTCCTTGAATAAGTCCTGTCTGTATGTGTAACATCTTGTGTATCTTAAGTACACAAATGGACAGTACAGCATTCACCCTGAGTGCACAATAAAAAAGAGTTCTAGCACAACGATAAATACAAAACCAGGCTAGTCTAGGAGACACTTCACAAACCTATACTGTACCGGGACTGTTGATGATTTTGTAGATTTGAAAGCTTACGTTAAAATCAAATAAAATACGGTGCAAAGACAAGTTTTCCACTATACAGTACTTTATTTTAGTGTTGTAAGTTCTAGAATTATACTGTACTCCATCATTCTGCTAATAATTGCCTCATATTCAAATCTCCACGATTTGCAATCTATTCAATGTTTTCTTTAAGAGTCATTAACTTTAGCCGATATTATGGCTCAGACTGTGTGGCAGACGGTTACAACAATGCAGGTTATATACAGTCATTTATAATTAATTAATGAGTTAATAGCGGTCGTCACTTGATGTCACTACTGTTCTATACTCTATGTACTGTGCCAGTAGCATTGTACAGTACTGCAATAGTATAGCGCAACACGCTTACAATTGAATCCTATTTTTTAATTTGGGGGGATTATACCTCCTTTCTTTTCGTTTTACTAAACTCTTTTTTGAGGACCACCCCCTCCTTACCTAGAACAATCGCTACTTTGACCCGATTCAATTATATTGTCATTGAATAACTATAAACAACTGGACAGTGGATTAACAAAAAAAATTAAAATCAAATAACCGAAGATAATTGTACAATCAATATTATAATCCTATTGTGTAATTGTCACACATAGCATCAGCTAAGATGCAGTAATGCGATGATAATAATGAATTACCGTAGTTTTGTAAAATATTCGATATCCTTCCTAATCTACGTAGTTCTTGGTCAATCCACTAATGTGATGCGAAGTGTACTGTACTGTAGTGTACGATAAACGACTGTACTCAACTGATTGACGACTGACTGAAAAATTTCAGTAACTGTACAATGTACATGTTATAATTTGTAATAATAAAATGACCGATAATTATAATTTCCTTGACTGATCAACTCAGAGTCGACTTCGAGTCAGAGCGTGTGGATAGCTACTGATTGTATGTTGCTGTGTGCTCACTGATCAGACTCAAGAAGGATGCTCGAGATATTCTGGGATAATATTGTAATACTTTTGACTTGATGAATTTAATAAGAATGCGGGCTATAAGTAGATATTTATATTGTACATATGACCGACAGCGATAAAGTAAAAACTACAAGAACATACAGGCTATATACTGAGTACACGAAGAATAACGAGTGTGGGTCAATTGGTAACTATAATTCAATTTAGGGGCATTTACAGAATCATCTTTTTGCTGTTTATTTAATTTAATTTAATTAATTAATTTATTTATACTGTATACTGTAGTCGCTTCTTTACGTAAATGTGAATTTGTTATGTACAGTACTGTACATTAGTGTATCATATACCGATTTTTTCTCAGATCTAATTGCAACAGTGTCTAGAGTGTAGACCTGATCGAGTTTCAGGTCCAGGTATTTTTTCTAATAGTCCATATACAGTATACTGAACAGTAAGTCGAGGATGGGAACTTGTACTAGTGTAGAGTTCGCGGATCTTGGTAGGGAATACAGTACTGTACGTGTATACTGCAGTATAAAGTACAGTATAGGTCAACACATACATGTTTACCAATGAATTTTGTCATTATTTTTTACTTATATTCCTCTAGAAACTCTTTCATAATTAAATCGTAAGTATGAATATTAGTTCTAATAAAAGAGGAAATTTACTTGAAATTTTCAATCCTTAAAGTCAAATTATATGTGAAAGATTGTCTACTACAGTCCATAAATGTCTTCACCATTTTAATACTAGTCACTGTACAGTACTGTACAGTACTGTACTGTACAATATTTCCCTCTAAAATACAGTAAAATGTACTGTACTGTACAGTACTGCAGTGCTTAGTACTGTACTGTATGCTGTAGCCGTGTAGCGTACCGTACAATACAGTACAGTACTGTACTGTACAGTACTCGATGTAAATTTACAGTACAGTACATGTACTGTACAGTGTACAGCACTTGTGGAAGCGGTACACTCGTGCAGTGTACTGGTAAGTGTACTAAAAAAGTGGTCCGTATGCTAACCAGTTAGGAGTTAGGAGTAGAGTGCAGTACTGAATTGTTATGACAATGTAACTCTGTCGAAAGGCAATCGCAATTTCTTAACGCAACCATTCACAAATTAACATGGTATTACAATAATACTGTTTACTGGCTCAAAACGGAATGATCAATCTGTCTACCATGCAGTTTTATGATCAGACAGTCTCAGATTTTCCAAATGGAATAACCGTAGCATTAGCATATGGATCAGGTGTGTTCAAGCAGCAACATCAAGCAATTACATCGGTATGCAAGCTAGTCCAATCATCATCTCGGTTTTATGTTGCAATCGAGCTGTATGCTCAATTACTCGTACATCATGTGTGATTTGAGGTCTCATTTCTATCATACTTATTTGAAATAATAGGAAAGCATTATAACATAATGACACTGTTTGTTAAAAGACACTTTGCAAACGGTAATTGTACTCAATCGATCAGCTTACAGTAATGTAGCTCGCTCGAACCCATCCTTATTGTAAATACTGCACTGTACAGTAGTAGTAGAAATCCAAACAGTCTCCATCAAGGCTATTAAAGCATGCAAAAAGTTCTTACTCAAATCCAAACTACAGATATCTATATTCATACTATTTGATAGGATAATATGGTTGATTTCATATTCGCTGTACAAGATCCTTTGCGATGGCACACGGATAATTTAGCTCGAAATCCAAGTCATTACTCATTTTTAAAATATTTGGGAACTGAATTCATATGTACAATACAGGAATCGTTTGGTGCTAAGGTTTATTATAACACTCTGGTTAAACATAAAGAACGTGTAAGAATATAAATTTTGGGCCTTGTACTACATTCGTACTTCTAATAACTAATACAATATATTTAGATAAGTATAATCCTAAGCATCCCTAACAACACTAGCTTTTTGCAGTAGATTTACTAATTTTTCTCAACAGGTAATCAAATATGGGGTAATAAGTGTTCGATCTTTCTGCCATGAATTGCAAAATTGGAATAATCTCTATATCAGTGGGCGCTTACAGAAACCCGTAGGTTATAAATTACCTTTCATGATAAAAGAGATGATAATATAATAGTGCACGTTTTATACTATACGTAAACTCACTTAATAGCGTGTATAAAATTTTCTATGCTAAAATAAACTTGATAAACACATGATATTTTTTTGGTTTGCAAGGTATTATTTATTAAAGGGAGAGAAGATCCGGAAATTGGACCTCTACTAACATCTAACTTGACAAATACTTTACGTGTTTCCTTGCTAATGCTGCCAGAAAACTTTACAGAGGAATCTTTGTACCTTACGATTGCCGGTCTATCATACTTAGGTATATAAATTTTTTAATTTATACAAATGGTTTCATAGTGCAACCAAAATAGCAAAGTAGGACTCATTTTTGATTTAACTTTGGCTAGGCGATTTTCGTATGACAATTGGTGAAAATCGCAATAAGGTCTACAATATTGTCAAGCCGAATCTACCCCAATTTCGTAAATTATATTATCCCATTTTGCAATCTTTCGAATCTGTTCACATCAATCGGGATGGTTATGAAATTCAGGTGATCTTTTTCATTCTTTACCGTACTAAACCCTTAGCTGTGTTATTTCCTGCTTGATTTGCTATTTTTACGTATTGTATCCTTCGCTAACATAACTTTACAGCAAGATTGCACTTCCCAAACGAAGCTTCAATACCTTAGCAACCTCCCAAAGCGTCTAATAACGGAGATAAAATCGAATAGCGGCTTAGATGTACACCAGATAGCAAAGGATCGCAAGTGTACAGATTATGTAAAAAATGGTACAGCTAATCTTTTAATAGTTATCTAAATGTTATTAACTGGTAAATTAAAAACCCCTTCAAACATAACAGTTTAATCCTTACTGTGGCATTTCAGGTATTGCAACAATTGTCAGCGAAAGTAGTAAAAGTCAGAGCTTGAAAGGCATTTTAAGTGCTGGTATGTATTTTATCTATTGCTAATGCAACTAGATTTTCGAATCTTACAGCATTACGATGGCTTTTTATGATCTAGGACTTCTTAAGAGCTTGCTATACAGTGGTATGAAATTAAGAAAAATGATGAAGGGTTTTATAAAATAAAAGGTTCGATGGAAATGCTTTCCAGGGAATAGACACACATTCTCAGTTCATAAGAGAATATTGCATTACATATTAGAATTACTAGATTAATGATATCTCTGTTATAGCATGAGAATGATGACACAAAGATTCCTTCTTCCAATATTTAGTTAGCTGTAAATTATTATTTTTATTGGCAGCAATCAAAAATTATTCGAACATCATTACATGTAATGTGACATAAAATTATTGAATATACAAGTATTTGAGTTGCTAGCAGAATTTTTACAATATTACAATAACGGATCGAGGTATGTAGGAATAGACAGGTGATATATTATATTATATAATGTTGAACGCAGCCAAAAATAAATCGCATATCGAAACATACTCAACATTCTCAAAATTTTTACACCAAATAAAGTGATATAATACGAAACTTTATAGCATATAGCGTATGTTGCGCATATAACTTACTAAAATCAATTGATACAGTATAATTACAATGATTGGATTATCAATTTACGCGAACTATCATAAACGAATCTGTTCCCAGTGAAGAGTTCACTCTCATAGAATTTCTTTAAACTGTGAATGTGTAGCTGCCTTGCCTACAAATAATAAATAATGTAAATTAAAGACCTTACACCATAATACTGAAGCAATTTATTTTGGCATTTATTTTAATAAGTTTACCTTTTCAGCAAATTCTTCCTCTTCAATTTCGACATAATCTTGTTCTCCTCCATATCTATTACGATAGTACGCAGACTGGTCACGAACCATCTGCTTAATTAAGAATAACAGTAGCTCGTTGTTGTCCTTGTTATACATCAAGTACTTGGAGAAAGCCTATAATTACAAACGCAAATTAATCATTTTCTGCGGTGAGTTCAAACTGAACGATTAATTACAAATATCAATTATTGTTTATTTCTTTTACCTTAGCCATGCCTTTCATAACTGAAAACTTTTGAGTATCAATAAAGCTTTCAAGCATAATGCGTATTGCCATGTTTACATCATCTTCACTGACGTATTCTCTCAAGTGCATGCGAGCATTAGCTTCTGCAATCCGAATCATTGACTCAATATGTCTAACGGTAATCGGAATGCTACCAGTTGCCTACATTAATAGTAATCAAGTTAACTCTAATAGGAAGTTGCAATTCCATATCAATTACGCTTCAGCTATAACTATCAACCAATACAAGACATAATAAAGCAATGTAACAGTCCTAACCAGGATAGCCTTAATTATCTGTAAAGCTTTCCAACATAAACTGTAATATACTGTAGCATTATTTCCACGACCACACAACGACAAACGTTTAGTAATGTCGAGGCGGAGATACCAGATAATGCTATGATGTTACGCTAACATACTAACTCCATTATCAAAATAATCTCTAGAAAAACTCACCATTGACTCGCGACGTAATTCAGCATACAAATGGGCGACTTTGTCTTGGTTAATATTATGTAATTTTGGGTTAACTTTTTCTCTAGCATAAATAATATACTTGCGTAACATTTCCTAGAAAAATTTTATTTAGCATTGATTAAAATAAAATTGCCGTATTTAGAAACTAAGATATTAGCAATAGAAAATTGATCTATCATGCACCTGAGGAATCTTCTCTAATCCTGATGATGACGGTAATTGATCTTCTGCTGCATCTTTTTCGTTGTCGCCAACATCTTTATTTGGATGATGTTGTACGTGACTAGCAACAACGAACTTAGCTAACTGTTCATCCTGCACCGGATCAACCGTATCACGGACTGTACATAAAATATCAAAACGGGATAATATTGGCTCCGTTAAGTCTACATTCTCCGAAAATGTGAGAGATGGATCATATCGACCACCCAGTGGATTAGCAGCAGCAATAATCGTACATCTTGCCTAGAAAATAAATTATGCATTATCAATTAAGATTGTAATTTAAGGTAGTTGAAATATTCATATACTATAACAAATAACTACAATCACGCCGCATCTACTTGATTCCTTACTTGCAATGATGTTACAATACCAGCTTTAGAAATAGAGATACTTTGTTGTTCCATAGCTTCATGGATACTCGTACGATCTTGATCGTTCATCTAGTAATTAATATAATTCGAGCTAAATAATCAGACACCTCTCTGCAAATCAAGAAAATATCCTTGTACCTTGTCAAATTCATCAATCAGGCACACTCCTTTATCGGCCAGTACTAAGGCACCAGCCTCTAAAGTCCATTCCTTAGAAACCGGATTTCGATTAACGTAGGCAGTAAGACCAACAGCTGAGGCACCTTGTCCAGTCGTAAAAACAGATCTATGTGCAATTTTCTCAACATATTTTAAAAATTGTGATTTCGCTGTCCCAGGATCACCACAGATAAGCAAATTGATATCACCTCTAACGCGGTGCTTGTTACCTAATTAGATATTGGCCAATTTAACAACCGATTGCATAAAAAATTTACAGCGTTAACTCCTAACCTGGATCTTTTGGTTCACCTCCAAATAGAGCAACAGCAATCGCTCGCCTCACTTTTAGATGCCCGTATATTGACGGAGCTATACTTTCAACAATCTAAGATAGAATAAAGTCCCTTAAGATCATGACTTGAGATATATCATTCCAAGAAATTGTACCAACCCTTTCACCGATACGTTCGTCTTTCGATAACGAAATGATCGTCTTAACATCATCATCAGTTAAAGCATCAATGACTGATTTATTATCCTTCTTATTGATATAATTGGCTTCGATAACTGTAGTAAATACTGGAAAACCGTTCGCAGTATTTAATGACGTGTCATAACTATTTCGGTAAATTCCAGTAATCTCCTGTTGAAAGCGGCGTAAAATGAATATTAGCAGAGAACAGATAAAATATGTCTAATAGCTCTTGACGATTATAGACTAACAATCTCATCTCCAGGTTTACAGCTATCAACAAGATCCGCTAACAGCAACGCATCTTTAGACCTAGGCAGCCTTCCAGCGGCTACCTTCCCTGGACTTTCCTGAATCGTTATTCGCTGATAGTTCTGGTATACCGTCTAAAATTGAGATCCGATCTACTTATTAGAAGAAAATCTCACAGCTAACTAACATATCGATTGTAGTAATAAGCGACCTGCTCCATATTGATCTCAAATGGCCCACTAGACTGACATTCAGGGCATGAACCGGGTTTTGTCTCCCGTTCTTGGCCTTGATAGAAGGGTCCCAATATATATGAACATTTGACGCAATTAAATTTAACCAGTTTTAACTGTGGCAGAATGCCTGTGTTACTGGTGACAACCCCTCTTGTACGAATAAGCTGATTCAGATGTAGCTGCCTATAATTTCGCATAAAATTTTTTCATAGATTCTTTAAATTAATTATTAATAAGAATTGAAGAAAGCTTATGGTTTACCAACCTCAAGTATCTCAACTCTTCCAGGAGTGGTAGCTCAGCGATTCGTATATGAATGTCAGAAGCGATACGTTCATAATTTGGAAACATGTTCAACACTACTTCCTTAGCCGCCTATAAACAAGAGACAGTGCGATCGTAAGTCTCATATGTACTTGTATGATAGCAACCCATTGCGATATGATTGTTACCTAAAAGTGACATAATGTCTTACCTCATCAAATATTTTTAGCATTTCTGCAGGTGCTTCAGGAAGAAAGTAAGCAATAACTTGCCACTCACTCGCTAGATGATTATAATCGATTACTAGGCTAGATTGATTTGCTATAAAAAACATTCAGGAATGCCAATTAATACAATTATATCGAGCAGTATTAGAGGATAATCAACATAATAACCCAGTCACCTTGACACATTTGTTTAATTTTTTCGCGATATATACTATATCCTTTTTCGCTTACGTAGGTTCGTAAAAACTGCTTGAATCGATTTTTAATCTCCAGGCGCGGTGCTTGCATTGACACCCATTCTCGTACGGTATGGTCTTTCATATCTTCAAGATTTTCGATACTTTCAATCATCTTCATAGTAGTATGTAGAATAAAATAATTGTATATAAGTTTATATAGCCAATGGATAATCTAAAAATATCAGCTAAAATGTGAATAACATATCAATGAGATAGAATAAGTCAATGATATGAACATGTCCGATAACAGATCGGGCTAGATACTATCTGGATCTACTCTACTGGAAAGAATAAATTCTAAACAGTGAATATAGATCCAAGTATCTGGTAATGCCCCAACATGCTATCAGGTATATCGTTGTTACACACCCACGACTCAAGCACTTCCAATCTACAACCGGAAAAGTTGTGAATGACCCTAACTTCTAATCAATTTGATATTGATACAGAAAGGTCATTCCAGAAGTGGATCTAAGAAAAGTGTGTGCTGCGGCATCGTAGAATGCTAAGCAACTATGGCTGCATTCGATGACATTCGGAAAGGCAATTTTGAGATATACAAAAATAACATTACCTCTTCTTTATCATAACTTTCATCATCTGCAGCTCTTTCGGCTAAGCGACGTCTTCGTCTCGGTCTAGATTCATCTTCATCGCTCTCATCTATATGATTGTGATGGGAATACAAATAATTAGCCTAGGTAATGCTACGGCGCAATCTCCTCATTACTATTATCTTGTTTTACTACTTTACATAGAATTTATCGTGACATTTATGAATAAATGATTTAAATGTCAATGCCATAAATACTTACCGTACAGAACACCATCCCTCAATCGACCTGTAATTCTAGCTTCCTCACGATCTCGCTTACGCATCGCAATTTCAGCTTCACGTCTAGATGTAGGACTCATCTGTTCGTAATCTAAATCGTCAACTCCAGTTCGTTCGTATACATCGAGAGCAGGTATGTTTCGATAATCTCTACGATAGTAAATGAAGTATAATTAACTCCTCCAAATATCAGATATTAAACACCTGATGAGATGCGGATAACAAACCTTTCCAAGTTGTCATCAAAAAGATCTTCTCCGTCTTCTTCTTCTTCTTCACGTACTGTGCTATCTAAATCATCCCCGTCATCTTCAAACGGCGGTAGGTCTCGCGGCGGACTACTAGAAGTAAGCCCTATGACAAAATAAAAAAGTTGATATCAATGCCTAATAACCCTAAGGATGGGAGTTTAATCCAATATAGGTTAGGCTGCTGATAATCCATAGTAAGATAAAGCCATATTACAGTATTAACAGCTTGACAAATATATCCGGTATATGTATCATTTCGCACAATTTCACGGCCTTTATGTAATATTATATCTACTTGTTTCACGAAAGCGACAAATTAAACTTCAGGAAAGTATTTACGTTTAGCAAGATATTAAACAACCACAAGGACATGCAGAACTGAACTAACAATCCATAGATATATGAAGTGCACATACCACGAGATGTTGGATGTGTTGGACTTGACGACTGTCCGCCGCTCCTTGGGCTAGAAAATATTGATGATGATATTTCTTGTTCTCGATCCTATTGCAAGATAACAAAAACAAACCACTTTTAGTAATTATACCATCATTAATCAAATAAAATTTACTTGGTAAAAATACTAATTTAAGCATTGATCAATTATAGAATTAAGCTACATAATCTAAAGGGACGAATGATTCGTTCATAGAGCAGGTAGCGTAGCAAGTCAATCAATAAATTTATTTATGTGCATTCAGATTCTCGACAATTTCAATCCTTGTCATGTTGAAATTCAACCAATATTTGCAAGATTGTACATTGCCGTATCTTGTATCAAAAGTAGGCAAAAGTTGCTTAAATCTTATATTACAATGTCTCATACATGAGCTAATCACCAGTGTTTTTGTCCAATAGCGTCTACCGACTTTGATAGTCAACAAGTACCTCATGGTACTTGTTGACATTCTAGATCTTAAAACTGTGTAATGTAACCATTGTAAGCTAAAACTGGCCTCCAGGTTGTATAAATTTCTACACTATCATCTCTCTTAAACAAGAAATTAAACATTGCATGGTGTAACAACCACCTTTGACATGTGTACATGTACGAAAAGGTAACATATAAGAGCATAGAAATAATGTAGCTAATTTCAACAGTGAGGACGATTCGTTCATTTTTTTTGTTCTATTCAACACTTGACTACATGAGCAAATAATATTCCATCTTTTGCTACTAAAACACTACCCTTTTAAGTGCCGAGCAATATTAATTCTTACCATAAGGAAAGAAACTTTAAATATTTTTAGAAATGTAAATCAAAATGCTGTCAATGATATATGTGCTAAATGACTATCGATTGACCATCATGTGGACACTGCAGTAACCATTTTCACTGGCAATGAATAATCATTTTACATGTATTTTTGCTAAAGAGCGCTAAGAAAAGTATTCTGAATTTTTGAAAAGTTTAAACGTATAACCTAATAAAACTATTCTGCTAAGAAAAAGAGCGATAAAATCAATACTATGGACGCAAAGAGCTAATGTTACTTCATTTTACTGGAGCGGAAATACTTACAGCCATTTTGATCTCCTCGTTGCAAGAACTAAATCACGTGGCAATATTTGGCGGGAAATTGGGCGAGTCACTGTGCGATACAGTATCTACGTATTGTTACGTAATCGAAATTGCCGCGAAAGCTAAGTAAAGCATCGTCATGATTGGTTAAAAGTCATATGATAACTTTGACTTGAAATCATTTCAATAGTGCCGTCGTAAGTGCGTACAGTACTGTACAAGGTGTTAGCAAAGTCATTTGATATTCCACATACTGTATTAATTATACATTAGACATGAATTTTCCATCCATTTCTTATAACACTGTATTTTATTTATTATTTAAGCAAACTCTGAAAGGTTAGTTTAGTGAAGCATCGTCATGGATTGGTTTAAAAGTCAAACGATCATTTTGGCTTGAAATCACTTCAATAGTGGCGTCGTACATTAAGTGCGTACTGTACTGTGCAGTATACACTGTACTGTACTGTACTGGGTGTTCGGAAAGCCATTTGATATTCCACATGCTGTACTAAATTTTATACATTAGACATGAATTTTCCATCCATTTCTTATGACACTGTATTTTATTTATTATTTAAGCAAGCTCTGAAAGGTTAGTTTAGTAAAGCATCGTCATGATTGGTTAAAAGTCAAATGATCATTTTGACTAGAAATCATTTCAATAGTGGCGTCGTAAGTGCGTACAGTACTGCACTGTGTACAGTGTACAGTACAGTATCTTTGCACTGTACTGTACTGGGTGTTATGAAAGTCATTCGATATTTCTCATACTAATTATACTGTACATTAGACATGAATTTACCATCCATTTCTTTTGACACTGTACAGTATTAACCAAGCTGTGAAAGATATACTGTACTGTACATTATTTTTTTCAGACCCTTGGAGAGACATGACAATCTAAGTTACTGTATTTCATAAGCAAGAGGCACAAAATCGAACATTTAAGAAGGGCTACTTGACCATGCTTCATCATTTGCACACTCATAAAGTCGATTTATAATCGGATTTCTAATAGCAAATGACTTTATAACCACCTTGTACTGTACAGTATGAGCCCAAATCGTGCTGTAGCCTATAGTGCTAGACAGTGTACTGTAGCACAAGTATCAGTATGTAGAAGTCATCTTCAGGTAATACGTAGTACAGGAACTATACTGTTGACTCCGCTATTTTGAAGACATGTCTTTCCTTGTATCCTTTGCTGTAGCCGATTTATTCATGAATTCTCTGTGCACTCGTAAAATGTGTCTTAGAAGCTGCTCTAGCAGTTCGTTATGTACTCACAAAATATGTTGATGAGTACATAACGAATTCATCAATAGAGCGGCTTCAGGCAAGATCTGCAGAGATACAGCTACACGACAGTGGAGGAAGTACACTATTAAAGGCCAGTACTGCTTGTTCCATAGTGATACTGTATGCCTTCGACACTAGCTCCAACCTTATCAATAAATCATTTGCAAAGTTGTTAAAATTCTAAAATTGAACATCAATAGGTTATTTCTGTGCCTACCTAACTCTAGAAGTAACATTCCTTTCATAATTATCATTAATATCCATATTATAATATTAAAATTCCAACCCAAAGCGCACGTTTATCCGAAGGTAATATGCAATTTACTGATAATATACTGTAGTATATGCAGAAATTTGGTAAATAAATGTACTTCATGATTAAGACAGCATTATCCTTTGTATAGAATGTCTACATAGTTGAATTGAGATGGTTGTATTGTAAATTATCAACATAAGGCTTGAAATTCTATCAATTATTAATGTCAATTTGAATTCAAGTAATTTATTTTCATGCTAGCTTTAGTTTTGCGCATGATTTAAATCATAAAACAGTACTCTATACTGTACACTGTACAGAATAATACATGCAAATGATAACGTAAAAAATGCAAGAATAATTGCTGTTAAACACAACATTTTATTTTTTTGATGATTATACTTCCTTCCCTCCGTTCACATCAACGGACTAGTAATCAGAATTACTATTATTGTTATTCGGTGATAATCATATTGTATAGCACAACAGTTGCAGTATGATTCGATAGCTTAGTGTACAACTCTATATACAATCTTTGTATTCCAATGCTCTTTAGACTATAACCTTCCATACAAATACCCAGAGAAAAGTTTTATAACCGCTAGTACGGTACGGTATTATTACAGCAGCCTGCAACCTCCTAGCCTCTCTACCTTACTATACCTGGCCACAATCGGAGTCGTTGTTTTCAGCTTTCAAAATGGAAGTAAGTCAGCCATTCTACATATAACGTATAGTAATAGTCAGCTTTGAAGACTAAAATGGTAAATGACTAAGTGATAGTAGAATATATCTACAGTAATTCTAATCTTATTACCGTCATGATGATGAATAAACTACAGTAATAGGATTCATCCCTCGAAGAATGATTGAATAATCTTGACCATGAATATTAACCCATAGTGTTAGTCGGAATTCCAATTTTTGAACTTGATCCACCCATTTATATCTTAGCAGCAACAACTTTTAAATCAAGTGGAGCAAATTTATCGCCAGTGCAGTAAGCGACCATCTGTTACGGCTGGTAGAATTTTAGCTGATCCTTCTAATAATGGCCTTCAAGTCGCATCCAACTGGTCGCAACGAAATCTGGACACCTTGTCCATGACCCAATTTACTCTTCATCATCATATACGTTTAAGTCATGATGGTCATATTGAGAAAGTGGACAGGATCCAGGCTTTGCCAGATGAGAACAGGTACTTTGTACTCATCATCATCACAATTCTGTATCATAATTGAATTATCCCTTAAAATGCAATCGCTTCGAGATAGTCCAATACACCGCTACAGGTGTTTCCAGTAATAATTCTGTATAAGATTGACATAAAATCAATATCGGATGCTCTACAGTTTTGCTAATAATACCTATATCATATATAATATAAATCGACGTAGCTATAAACAAGTCAGTTATTCTGACACTGGTAAACTAAAAGCTGTACTAAAGACAGAAAGATTGAACAAATCAGATCAAGATAAGCAAATATTATCGGTAAGTTATACTGAACGATGCCTAATAGTAAACTAAAATATCTGCTGCACTTCCATTACTTTAGATCCGCTTGCAATGAACCTTGCTTTCACTCATATTAAACACTTATCCCATGATTACTTGCATATCATACAGGTTTGGACTGCAAATGGCCTACTCCGAAGCTATGATCTGACAGCTATAAAGAAACACGGAAAAGTTATTGTAGACGGTACGTAAATCTGGAAAAGACTATCATCTCCCTTTTCTTAGCTAGCCAATGTTAGTCTTTAAAAACCTATCTATATTTGCAATTATTAAATGTATTAATTTACGCTGTATTTATTACTCATCATGTTCTTAAAAGTAAACCAATCATTATGGATAGTAATCTAAAAATGATATTAAATAATTATATATTGAGATTGTAACCATGTTAAGTTGTTGCTTTAGCAACATTTTCTAGTCTGAGATGGTCCCCAAACGAAAAATTTATTTTATATGTGGCCGAGAAAGAGAAAAAATCTCTTAAGACTTATTTCGATTCGAATATAAATGATGACAACGACAAGAAACGTAATGGCAAATTAAAACACTACGGTAGCCATTTTAAACTATATTCTCGCTAATTTTTTTTATTTAACATTTATAATTGTAGGCGATGATACCGAAAATGCATCGAATAAAGTAATTCTTCGCGATAGTTATAGCAAGCTGCCTCATTTATATTCCAACATTAAATAATTTCTAATTATGTAAATTTGTTTTCACTTAACAACTACAGTTAGATAAGTTTGTGGCTCAAGAAAGTTGGGGAGAAAGAGAACCGGTGCATCAACCAGTTTTAGTAGTTTTAGATATCGATACTGGAGCAGTTCGAATCCTTGATGTTCCTTCAAATATCTCTCCCGGCCAAGTATATGAATTTAAAAATACTATACAGCCTATACTGTACTCAGTAAATGCTTTATCAATGTTGATAATTGTAAATACTGTTTCGGATTTCAGGCAATTTGGTGTCGTGATAGTTCTGGCATTGTATGTGCTGGATGGAATAATGAGCCATGGCGATTAGGAATCATTTATTGCTCAAGCCGAAGGTTGGTTGTATGCTAGTGCTTACGTTTACGATTACTACAATATTAACCTTTCAACTATAACTATACCATTATTGTTTGGATTAGAAATGCCTTATACTACATCCCTGTAGATGATTCAAAGTTTGGTAAATGCTTTATAATTTTTTTAAGTTTTGCCTGTTACTAAATGCTTCATGCTTATCAAACTACGAATATATAGTTTGTCTACAATAAAATTTTGTATTCATAATAATGTAATTCTAGAGCAACTCACTGAAGAAAATTATACTATATATTCTCCTCGATTCAATCCTCAGGGAACTAAGCTTGTTAGTATATGATATTTTAATGGTAAAGTCCAGCGTACAATAAACATCTAATTACCCTTCATGTGATATACAGGTTTATATACGTTATCCATCTGGTGGGCCACATCACAATTGCGCAGCACTTATGCAAGTAATGGATAATTTCTTATTAAAAGCCTTACTCATGTTTAGAATAAGCAGGATATTTTGACTCTTTCATATAACTAGATTGACTGGAACACAAGAGAACGCTCAACATTGGTTGAAGAAGTTTCTAAACCTAAGAGTTGTGTGATATTCAAATTTTGTCAAACTTTTTGTAATAATGTAATTGGTGTTATCACTTATGTTTACATTTTACATTAAAAGATAATGACTTCTGTGGCATATATAGCATGGAGTTACCGAAACGATGTTGGAACAAAGACGGAAATAAACTGTACTTTCATACTATCCGAAGAGTTTATCAAGTAATCTTTACCATTTCAATGTTGATTCAGACTATGTAATTATATTAAAACCTAACAACTGATTATCATACATAATTTTTATATTTGAAACTAAGGATATCTTCGAAGTCGATACTATTAATAAAAAGATTAACTGTATAACCAAAGGTACTCATTAACTTTACATTGGAGCTAACAATTACGTAATCAATAATATCTAACTAAATCTTTAAATAATTGTAAGATAATGAAAGAGGGTGTTGGAGTGTCATCGACGTACATAGAAACATTCTGCTCGCATCTTATGCATCACCGGCAATTTCGGATCGATTGGTTTGTCTTATTGTACTACATTAGAAATAAGTTCTGTAACTACTGTTATAGAAATAGTAGGCTATTCATGTTGTAATTCACGTTTTTAGATGATAGCCGCAATACCATCTGCAAGTGATCATGCCTTAACAAGTATGGATTGGATTGAATTCGGTAATTCTATCTGCACTGTCTCTCTAAATGTTGCTTGCACATTACACTTTGCGAAGAAATTGAAATTAATTTGTATTCTTAAGCTGTTTTCTAATATCAAATTGGAAAGACTTTTTCTAACCATTTTTACGTAATCATTTAATCAGAGAACGTTATAGCTGATGATAGAATATCATGGGAAGTAATTACTTTGAAGGTTTCTGATGACACCTTGATTGATGGTAAAAATCAATAAACGTTCCCAAAACCCATCAAATCAACACTAATTTAGTTCTTTCACGATTACTAGAATTTGATGCTATATTTATTAAGCCTACAGCGGTAACATCGCCACCTCTTATCGTTGTGCCACATGGTATAATAGCAAAATCTACCTTCAAAGTTATTTAAATCGAACCTCTAGAATAAAAATAAACATTTAAGTCTGTTGCATTCGTAGGAGGACCTCACTCAGCATTTTATAGTTATTATCAAATTTATTATTATTGCTTCTGTCTGTTAGGATATGCCGTTTTGCAAGGTAACTCTGAAATCAAGTAGCAATAAAATTACTGTTGTTAAGAACGAATCACTAATATCTTAATTAACGTTTTTCGTATGTAGTAAACTATCGAGGTTCTATGGGATATGGCCAACAGGGTATTGATTCTCTTATAGGAAATGTCGGTATCGTTGACGTTGCTGACGTAAAAGTAAGACGAATTTCAATGCCCAAGAATAAAAATGGATAAAAATAATCCGTATTCTCTACGTAGTTATTTACCTTTGTGATATGTAATGTACATATAATGTTATTCCACAGTCAGCAGTGGACTATATTTTAAAGAACGGAAATATTAATAATGAAAAGGTCTTCATTTTTGGTGGATCACATGGTGGATTCTTAGGAACTCATATGGTTGGACAGTTTCCTGTGAGTAAGGCATTATCGGAACTCTCAAACGATTTGTGTATAGTTTGCAATTAACTTTTATGACGGCTTACTCAACCGATTTCATAATTTCATTAACTTAATATTTCCAACCTGAAAATAATTCAAGTTTTAATCTACTCATAATTACTAAAGGATCTCTTCAAAGCTTGTGCAGTGCGAAATCCTGTGACTGATATTGCAAGTGAGTTATAACACTGAGATATGAATAGGCAAATCTCTCACGGCTTAACTTAGATTTTATTATTTATATTCTTCTATAAATTGCCTTCAGGTATGTTAAACGTTACCGATATTCCCGATTGGTAAGGACTGATTGCATGTATATCTCTATCAAATCATATAAATCGTCTTTTGCACGTATCAGGAATACTAGATTGCATGAAATTAGGTAGTAAATGAATGAGAATGTATGTTGCGTAGGTGCTACGTTGAAGCCGGATTTAAATGGGACTTTCGTAATCTCTCTTCGTCCGATGTTTACTCTAAGATGATAAATCAATCACCAATGAATTATATATCGCAAGTACGAAGTAGTAACTTTTACAGTGTTTGCAGTACTCCTTACAATAACTCTACTTATTGTTAAGTAAATTGAAAATACGAACAAAAGATGTATATTATGAAATATTAACTTATGCCGGATAGGTTCGAACGCCAACACTCATCTTATTGGGAGAAGACGACGAAAGAGTACCTCCATATCAAGGCCGAGAGTTCTTTCGTGCTTTGAAAGCTCGCGGTATTGAGACCAGGTTAGACATTAAAATTATGAATTTATGAGCTGAGTGTAAATGTCATATAGTGTATATATTACCTAACTTTGAATTTTGATCTACTTATCCAAGTGGGCTTCTTAAAGTCTATGGACAAATTCTTACTCGTGATCTTAGTCGCTACTTTATTTACGTACATTTTTGACCAGAAACGTTAGTGTTTATGTACTTCTTAGAAAATATACTATACTAATTGCACGAAATTGCATACAGGTTGTTGTCTTATCCTGGAAATAATCACTCTTTGAGTGAAGTAGAATGCGAAGCTGACGTATTCATGAACGTTGTCAATTGGTTTTCCCGGCGTCAATAAAGAAATTTCAGTACATACAGTATAATATAGTTTAATGTTATGTAGAAATTTCTGATAAGTGATAATTATAACATAATTTATGATTGTAACTAGTTGAAAGACATTACAGTTTTGTACTACGGTAAAATGTTATATCTAGAGAGAAATTTACAATAGTTATTAGGATAACTATACGGAGTAAATTTCGTTATCAAAATAAATGTTTTTAACTATTTGTAGAAGTTACTGTTCAATCGGTATCATGCGATATAAATTGTTTTATTTTATACCTAGAAATATGGATATTAGTGCTACTTTTTACTGATCGTAGCTGGATTCTAGATAATAGTATGCTTGCTTAATTAAAGGCTCATATAACGGACAACATCTCCGAATAAATTATCTTTATACTCATGTTCTACATCTACTAAAAAGCAGAAGTAACAAGTCTCATATTTGACATCTAATCGGGTCCGAAGTAATATTATGCAGTCGGCCCTTAAAAAATAGCAAAAAATAGCAATGTTAACCAGTGCTGCTTTCGTGATGCGTCAGCAACTTTAGTATGTAATTAATGAAGTACAACACTGCGGCCATGTTGACTAGTATATTTAATCATCCCTTCACTACTGCAATTTTGCGAGTTATAAGGCGTAACGGAGAGAGGTTACGTCAAGATATGATGCAGTAGTAAACAAAGTATAAGAACGAGCAACAACTAGCATAACTTTACTAACTCCTAATATAACACCTCAATTAAATATTGAGCATAAATCACAGTTGTAGACAAAACAGTATTCTTTAGAACCATTTTATATTTTTCAGGAGCTTAAGTGTTCAATAAAGTATAACATCAAGAAGTTACTGGTTTAATACATTCAGCCATCGTTCTGCGGCCGTAATTTTCCGTGTTATAAAATATGTAGGGATGTTGTAAGCTATAAACCATGATGTAATGTATGTGAGATATTACAATGAGAAATCCACAGGAAATGGCACAAGAAAATATCACAAGTATGTTTTCGAGTACTATATGAATGAATATGTAAATCGATCCACTAATGTCACATTCTACTGTGAACATGAATGCCGTGTAGAGATTTTTTCATCTACTTTCAGTAGTAGCAAGAAGTGCCGAATGGTAGAACTAGAAGTGAAATAGTCTGCTATGGTTAATACAATAATTGATTGATGGTTGGTACGATGAACGGGTTACTAGTACTATTTATACTATGTTCCTACAAGGTAGTCGCTGACAGCTATATAAAATTATGTAGTGATTAATAAGTTATGGAAATTGTTGTCGTAGAGGCTAAGTGATTATCCAGTTTATCTTAGCCAATTTCAAATGTTATTATGCGGGAAAAGAAAAATAATTCTTCTCTATCAAACGTGCTATTAATTAACAATAATTTTAAGGTTAATTACCGTATTTACCTAATTGTGTCACGTTAGAGATTTGCTCAAATTGAATAACTCAAATTTCAAGTTAGTGTATAGTGAACCTAAGGAGTTATAAAACGGGTTCGCCACAGTCTACAGGTGGCTTCGAGATTTTAACAAGAGCGGGTTCTTATTTCTAAGCATAAACAAAGCAGCAAAGTGGTCTTATAGTATATCCATTATCCTTTACTGTATGCCATAAAAGAAAATAAGGTTTTGTATATGACGGCTGTAGAATCAAAGCAGAAAAGAGATATCAACAAAAAATTACTTTAATGTGTGTAACTGTTAAAATGAAATAGTGAAGGAAAGAGGGTTTGTATGTGGTAGCTATAGAATCGAAGCAGAAAGGATATACCAACAAAAAAATTACTTTAATGTGTGTGACTGTTAATATGGAAGATCGTCATTGCCTTTAGAACTGCCAAAGTCTTAATATTAAAAATTTATTCCATGAAACTGAAGTAGTAGATACAGTTGTATTATACCTGTATGAATGGGATGGCCATCAAAATACATATCTAATATATTATTTATTTATCAGCGCCAATTGGACTATGATGTGCTATTCTTTCCATAGTTATCTAGTACGTAATAAAGTGGGCTACCTAACTGTTTCTGTAGCACAATAAAGCTATAGATGCTAGTCTCCTTTTGGCAGGCTTCAATGTACAGCTAGCAATATAAACATCATGTAAAATTATATACAGGATGCTATTATATCTTGGAGTCCCACATCCTTCGACCGAAGCGGAATGTCAAGCGGATGTATTTATAAACATTATTAACTGGTTTTTCCTACGTCAGTAAACTGATTTTCACTGCAAAATATGACTTAACTCAATGTAGGAAGATTTTAGTATATGATGGCATACGATGAAACTAGTTGGAAAGTATTTCCTTTTTTGTGTTAATGAAAACTTAATATTTAATGATGGAGAAATTTGCATGAATCGAATATCCTATAATTAAATATCATATTTTATTAATCATGAGTATATCCTAGACAATGCCGTAACATTTGATAAATCATATTTTTATATTATAAAAGAATTTTTATGAGTTCAAAATTATCATTGCATACTAATGGTAATGGAAAGAATTGGACTAAACATGTTTCATATTTTACCTCAAGATATTGTAATTATTATATTATTATTCAGTCTGTATTTCAAAAATAAAAGTATAACAACTACAATGTTGACCAGTAATTGACGATCAACATCTTGTAAAATTACAATAAAATACCGAACTTACAGTACACAAACTATAATCGGATTCAATGATGAATAAAATAGTATGATTCTTTCCACAGATTACCTTTTCATTTTAGCTAACTGCCTTAAATTCGTAATCATATTCAACATTAGGAGATCGTACTTGTATTCGTAACTAAAGTATCGCAGTTTAAATTAAAATTTTTACTGATACCTAACTTGCCGAAACGTTTTATCAAATCTAATAAAACTAACAGCTATGGTCAATTACTGTAACACTAATTATTGATCAATTGATTTATAAAATGATAATTCTTTTATTTTACATAGGCTAATTAGCCAGAGATTTTGATAGGATAGTAGAATAAAAAATCATTTTTATATGATTTCAAACTTAATGATTTACTTGTAACTACTGTAGTCATTGTAGTTAGGGAAGCAATTGCAAGAATCCAACCTTATCTACTTATTTGCGGCATGGTAATTAAAAATTTGATCTTATTAATATAGCACAAATCCTACTTTATTAGCCTACTACATTATGATCAGCTCTAAGAAACTGGCATAATGCTAATGAAGTAGCAGCGAAAAATAATCAAGTAGCTTCGGATGTGACAGTCTTAAGAGACTAATGAATATATTCAACATTGATGCGAAAAACTATAATTTAAAATGCAGATAGTTTAAATTAATTACCATAATTACGTCACTGCAGTGATACTGTAATCAAGTAATTAATACCGCATTACATCCAGGATAACTATCCTAAGAAATTAGCAACACATATAATTATCCATTACAAATACGGAAGCCATCATCGATCCTTCCATTAATAGTTATGTACCATGTTATCGAGCTTGCAACAAAATTTACATAGTCACCATTAAGAAGCAGTAAAACAAGTACAGTTACAATTAAAACAGTAAAACCACAATGAACGAAAAAATATTGTAACAAATGATGCACTAAGTGCATGAGCGTGGATATACCGAAATCACAAGTTCGTAAAAATTGATCCACGAAGTATTTTGGAGAATATTTTATCAACGATATGAACTTCGCACATAGCTGTCATAAAATATCTATACGTGGATGCCTTATGTTTAATCCACCTATACACTTACTCGTATATACGAGTCGTATATCGTATATGGCTATATCTTTATTACAATACAACAAACTATCAAATAGTAAATCCAAAAGATTTTCATTACTATATGAGCGGTAAAGATGTCATACAATAACTAATAAAAAATAGATAAGAAATCAAAATAATTCTAATTACTAGAATGTAATTGAACGTAATCAAAATGGCAAAATATTTTATTATACCGTCTCAATCCAGTGCTATGTTACATTACTATCAAATTTTACTAGTGTATTATGCGTCAGGAACCTGTTTCTGCATCATATCATCTTTTAAAAATGTTATGCTATTCAGTTTCGGATGAGTGTGCTGCCGTTTACCATAATTTTTGATATTATAATGCGATTCTACTATATTGTAAGCATAACAAAAAATAGAGTCTATCTCTATTCGTCAATCATATATTTTTTCAAAGATTGATACGTAATCTACATTAAAATTTTTTATCGATATTAGAAATGATTCTCGATCCATTGCGATAGAATCTGAACGCAATCATCTCGCTTGATGTCTTGAAGCTTTTTGATTAACAATTGGACAGTGCTATGAGATTTTTTACCCCATTCAGCTAATAGGCTACTACTGGGACTGTCTTGTAGTTTGAAGCGTACCAACTGTTGTGTTGTAATCTCCATTAATTCAAGCGCAAGCCATCGCCAGTCTTTAACTGATGGCGTATGTTGATTTAACAAACGGCATAATTCATCGTGTGTACTTTGTGATAAATGATCAATATGATTATCCAGAGACTGTTCATTCTTGCGATCTTTTAACGCGGCAATAGTTGCCTAAAATTAATAGTATATACCGTTAATAAAATTGTTTTCAAGAATTTTCCTATAATTTAGATGTAAATTATATTTGAATATAGGCGTACATCTACGAATATCTTGCTAAATATAAAATACAAATAGATTATGATACTACGATATACAGTATCTTCATAATTTAATTTTAATTGAATTTAGCAAGCAGTATTGCAACCGCAACAATTTAGTAAAGATTACGTAAATAACTATCGAGTGCCTACCTCGATATTATCATCTGGTAGCCATTCTTTTACGTGAGGATGTTCATCGACCCTAATTTGTCCGCATTGTAGAGCAGCGTTAGGATTCAAGAAATCGACCTTTAACACATGAACGCGATTAAATGCTTGATCAGCAGATAAACAACGATCCATTGGGCACGCAGGTCCACAATGATAAAATACATCTGGAAAGTGCTTGTCGCAAATATTCTTAACCATGACATTGAGCTCATTCATCAAATACCATGCTGAGTAGCCTTCTTTACACCTTGAAGAATAATTTAAGAAGTCTTTTAAGATACTATTCCATTATCTAATTATTACCGTAACATGCTAAAAAAGATTAGATAAAGAGAACCAATAATCAGGATACAAGTATAATGCCTAATACTTACCTTGCAGTAATTTTAAATTGGCATTTTTCCGCATAAAGTTGTAAATTGAAATGATAGATATCATCAAATAACGAGAAAATTCCTCCAGTCTGGCATATCGTTGTCGTTAACGAAGCATTCTTACCACGTTGAGACATTATATCAATTATGGTGTACATAAATATTGGCTGAGGTAGGAAACCATGGAAATCAAAATAGAACGAAATATCATCTAATGAAACCTCCCAGAAACTTTCATCCATTTGATTTTTAAGTAAATATGGCATAATAAATCGCGCTGGCTTCATGCTAGAAAATAAGCCAGGTCGTTTACTATCAAATTCTTGTAAAGTTTTCTTTTCTTTAAGGTGCGATGTCAAAAAATCACAGTTATCATCAATTCGATAAATAATATGCAGTGCTTCCATCAAACTGACTAATACTTCGCTTGGTTCTTTGGAATTTTTCCATGCATGTAACATTAAATCAGTGTCGACTACAGCATAATTAGTCAATCTCTCCCATTTGTGTTGAAAGTGCTTAGTTTCTTTACAATGGCTTGGTTGATAGATCAACGCAGTAATTGCTTCCAAGACACATTGTGTATCAATGATGACAAAAGTATTCAGAATCACATGATCTTTTTTAACACCGTGAAGTATCCCTATTGGAAAAAAAATGATCAAGGACGAAATTACGCAAATAAATCTTATGCCTGCCATGGAATAAATATAGTCAATATAATAGTATACGAGTAGACGCGTATCTTTTTTTGATGTTCTGAGATAGGATATTATATTTATTTATTATTTTCATAAAAATAATAATTATACCTAAAGTTAGCTATAGAGTATCCTAGAAATGATGTTTATATGATACAAAAACTAACAAGACGAAAGTAATTTTCAACTGATTGCAGTCTGTAAAGAAATGTTAATGTAAAATCTGAACTATTACAGTAATTACACTTTGGTCTTGATATCACAAACGATAACTGAATAAACAAGTAATACAAGAGTATTTAAAGAATGTACTGTTAACTATTCAAAAAATATAATTTAGTGTACAGTATTGTACTTTTGGTGGAGTATGAGTACAAACTACAGCTTCTACCCTAGTTATAGTATGGAATGCTAGCAAATCGAGCTACTTTATTAATAAATATCACTACTAAAAAACTCAGTTAAAATGTTATGAAAAGTTATTGTTATAACATACCTGGATAGATAATTTTTCGTCCGTGATGTAAATATTCCAAGACTTGAGTTTGCTCTTGTTCTGATGTGATATTGCAAACTTGTCTTGCTAATTTCCTAAGCGAGCTGACAGTTACACATCGAATATTGTGTTCTTTATGCAATCGTGTTAATTGTTCACGGAACATAACCCAACTTAGTGGGATTGCATGAGTGGAATATTCTTGTCTCCTGGCGCAATCGAACATTTTCTCCAATAATCTAGCAGCCCCTTCATCTTTAATTCCGTGCTGTGATTCTACTAAAAACATTACTGAATCGTAGCTACTACGAGCTATCTGTCCACCAAATGATTGCATAAAATGTTTATTTAATTGCCTATTGATATTCTTAATGTCATCGGATGATAATTCATCGCCGTGAGTACCAACTAGTAGAACAGGTGTTGTGGGAGTTGTATATGTACGTATCGAGTTTAACCAGTAATGTAAACTTTGTAATTGTTTCTCTTCTTGTGCCAACATACTCACGGCATTGAATACAATTAAATTAACACCAAATTTAGCTAAGTGTACATGATGAACACTACGTGTTAATTTATGGCCAGATATATCCCAAAAATCTAAACGCAAGCGTGCAGTCGAGTTCAAATCTTCCGTAACTGTTGATGATGTTGATTTAAGATAGCTAACAACGCTATCGTAAGGAATACGTTTATCCCAAGTGGAGCATTCCGCTAATTTAGATTTATTAGTATTTCGAAAATAAAGTTGTTTTAAGGCGTGAGCAATCAATTTGCCAGCATGGCGATCAAAATCACTCAACTGTGGATTCGATGATGAGCCGCTAGCTTGATTACCGCTTGTACTGCCAGATTCACTGCTTATTGAATTATTAGGTGACCAACCTTGTTGATTACTACTTCGGATAAAAGAAGATCGGCGTTGTGGACGCAATGGAATATCATCTCTAAAAACTTCATCACTTTCACCTGCACTATCCATTAGTGCATCTAGTCCAGGAGGTAGTAGTGAATCTGATCTTGTTCGAGCAAGAATACCATCGGAAGTCATGGCATCGTCTGCATCCGATATTAATGACATTTTACGCATTACCTTGGACATTTGACCGCTTAAAACACGAAAGAGTGAACTTTTGCCGCTATTTTTATCGCCAAGGAATAAACAACGTGCTCGGCTAGCTTTGACGTTGCCATTGGCTAAAGCGGTATAAAAGGCTTCTTCGATTAATAGGCTCTTTGCTAATGATTCTTCTGCCATATTGAAAAAATATTGAAAAGATAGTTTAGTTTAAAGTATGCGTACGTTGCTAAACCACACAAATATTCAGTGTTGCAAGGATCTACAGACTCTTTCACTGTCGTTCATTACATTGCTACAGATACGCTGGGTACTCTACGCTGAACTCAAGTGTCGTATAAAAATATCGCTGAATGATGTTAGTCTTGTATGTGAAATACCTTGTGAACTTTTTAGCGTTGTGTAAAATACTTATTCCTTACTGCAGTAGTACATATAGAATTATGAACAATGCTCGTCGAATACGTCCATTTTTGCAAATAGATTGATTACTTTACAGGTTAATAACTAAAAATACCACAACATCTCTACTTTGGCTTTCTGGCGGACGACCCAAAAATTGATTATAAGATAGAAATGCCTACTATAAGCAGCAGATTCTCTAATTTGTTCGTCTACGCCTAAATTCAATCACTCGACCGAAGATACTATCAAGTCCTTTTTACTTTACTATAGTACAATCTCTGCAAAGTGATAACGTGATCCATCGTTAAAGTAAATTAAGAATATTCAATTGGCTTGTTACAAAGACAAGATATTTCAAAGGAAAAGATGCTAGCAAAAAGTGATCTTGTCAAAGACTCTACCAATGGATACTATCAAGAAAACACTTTTTACTTCACTACTATCTATCCAAAGCCATCGTATGATCAATCGTCCAGTAAACTCAGAATATTGAATTAGTTTTCTACAGATATTTCAAAGGAAAGGCAAAAGGAAATGATGCCAGCAAAAAAAAATATCCAAGATGTCTACTGCAAATCTTGGCAGTTGAAAATTTTTTTCACTGAAGAATGTGCACGTTGTCAACGCTACGCGTGCAGTGAGGGTGAGTGGAAGTTAGTGTTGAGTTACGGCGGCGGTCGTCAACAAAACTGAAGCGCAGCGTCACTAGTGAATGTTCGTTCCTTTCTTCTGTGACCCGCGCAATCCTTTGAAGTGCGGATTCATTACTCTTCTGTATAGAAGATCTAGAATATACTGTAATATACTGTCTGCACTTTACAATCCTCCATGCCTTGAAACTGTTTTCCATACTTAACTTATTCTATACAGTGTGGCCACCTACTAGTAGGAAATAGAGTAGAAATGGATGCCACTAAAGTCCTTGGAGACGAGACAAAGTACAAGACAAACTACCAGAGGTCTATGACTGCAGCGTACCCGATAACCCTATGGAGTCAAGCCTCCGCAGTGCTTGAAAGGGTGTATTTACGGGGGTAGAGACGACATACTGTGCCGGGGCTTTTTTTCACTACTTTGCTATACTGCCGGTCAATAATTAAGCATTAAATAAAATAAATCTTGATACGTAATAAAAAGATTGTTGAATACTGCAGCGATCGTCAACAACAATCAAGCGTTGTTCACCAACTACGGATCAATGTTGATGCTTCCGAGAAAGATATTTTAGTCATTGCAATAATGCAATGTATGAATACAAATTCTCTACAAATTTGATAGCAAAGTTCTATAAAATAATGCCCAAAATATACGTAGATGTCGCCAGTACAAATTAGAAATTATTAATGAAACGTTAATAATACAGTATATAGGTTATATATATACAGTACTGTATAATGAATGAATTAATTATGAACCAGTCAAAGGGAAAATGCCAAGGATTAGATAACTTATCTGGGAATGTGTTTACATTAATTTATCTATGACGCTTTACATATTTTTAATAATAGATAACTGCATAATTGTACTGTATGTATAGCACTATCTATTGTCATTACTGTACTGTACACGGATAGCTAAAATGTTTATGGACGTTTTCTATTCTATAAATTGACTAGCTTTTCAATGAAGTTTAGGTTTGTGTAATTTAAATGAGAGACTAGGGCTGTTACTGTTCGTCCTGACGATAGGAGATTGTCAGTATTTAGAGTAATACTGCAGGTAAATGACAAGAGGCTCATAGAGTGTTAGTTTTCTGTGTTTTACAAATTTCCATTTGGAACAGTAATAAATGCGGTAGACTCCGTTGTAATAATCAATGGAAAATTCAACCCAATAAACATCAAGTACAAAAATGATTCAGCGTAAAGATATCCTCGGACTTAGTAAATGCAGTGTTTTAAAGTTTTACTGCTAGGTGATATCAAGAGAACTTCACCATTCTAGTCAAAAATTGATATTCAACTTGACTATTTTGTTGTAGAATATTGATTACGGAGGACGTTAGCATGTGATCAGATTAGCGTTAATTGAGTAACGTTTTTAGCCTCCGATATACGGGTACTATAGTACAACACTATATCGCCTAGTAAAGCTAGTAAATTGCTTACCTGATATATCTTTTATTTCGATAATACTTGGTAAAACTTCCTTGGTCTCAGTATGATGAGGCTTTGGCTGATCTACTTTGTGTTGATTTCCAGCCGCCACTGCAGGAGATTTCGGTTTGATAAAAATTGGATCATCACTTTTCCCCCTATCTCCAGCATCACTATTAATGATAACAGGTAGTGAAGATGGAGAGTGGAGACGTTGCAATGAAGCATTAGCAAATGCTGTATTGAAATCGCCAGAAGTTCCTGATTGAGGGGTATCTGGAATAATCCTCAATTCAGGTGTAGCTATAGAATCTTGAGTTACAGCCTTGGATGACTCTGTTGATACTGATCTCTCATCTGATCTTTCGGCCAAATTCGAAAGGGATTCTTCAGCCCCAACGGTATCAAATAATTGATCCGGTAATTTAGCGACACCTGGTTCTGCATCTTCTATATAAGTTGATTTCTCTTCTTGTCCATAACCTCTTATATCGATTGGCTTCTTGAATGTTAGTCGGATAAACTGCTCGGAAGGTGATTCCTCAATTAATTTTGTAGTTTCAATGGAGGATTTCTCTTCTAATGAAACATTATTAATTGCCACTAAAAGATCACCAGGGTGTATCCGACCATCTCTATCAACACTACTGCCGCTCACAATATTTTGTATAATCATGTCATTGCTTGAAGGATTGTTAGGACGCTAAAAGAATTATAATAATGATGAAATTAAATATTATTTCACCGTCGTCGTTTACTGCTCCGCACTTCCTTCTAATACTGTGTTAAAGTCAACTAAAGGAAATTAACAACAATTGAAACTACTATAGGATTCTTGATAAAAGTTTGCACCTTTTTAGGAACAATTTTGCAACCTAAACGGTTATCAATTTTGGCCACATCGATCGTTTCAGTAGAACTTGACCATATAATTTGATGCGGATCCGTTACTGCTAATCGGCGTATTTCCGACAATTTATCTTCATTGTCGTCTAAGGTGATAATTCCTTCAGCAACTAGAGCACTTTCAGCTAATGATATCAGAAAGAAAAACATATAACAGCTTGATTAATTAATTATATTATCATTGGTTATAAATATTCTAGAGCTTAATTTCAATTTAAAATTGGTGTAACAGTTTTATTGGGTAGCATCGTCTAACATTGCTCAATTACACTCGGTCATCTACTTCCGTACAAGTTGTACAACATGTATATGACAAGCTAACCTTGTATTGTTTCTTCAACTCTAGTAGAATCCATAGACTTTACTTCTTTGGCATCTTTTTCTTGGTTAGTTAGCACTTGTCGCATCACTAGTTTCCATGTTCCTCTACCTGCAGTTTTAATAATTTCATCTGCACTTTGCGATGGTATATCTTCCAGACTTAGATCATTGATTGATACTAATCGATCATAAACTGAGATTACTTTAGCCCGAGTTGTAATACTGTTACTGGCCAACTTGGTAACAATAGTGCAAGAATGCCCATGATTTTCAGGATCCTATTGATGTATAAATACGTGATACAGTAACAACGATGATTAATACGCTCCCAAGAATATAACAACTCATCACACACACGATCATAAAACTATAACAAATCTCTTTCTTCTATTGAATTAGCTAATACTTACGTCAATAACTTGGACATCAATTCCTAAAGGTTCATCGCTTCGACTAGATTCTAATTTAATTGTTTTTGTATTTTGCCTCCATGCTGTAGGGTAGTTCAAAGAATCACTAGAGTCCTCTTCTTGCGGTTGTGCTCCTGATCCCAGCGCAAAACCTTTGCTTTTGTCATGAGTTGGTGTCGGCGTTGCTGACCTAGAGCCCTCATTCGTGGTTACTTTAGGCTGGCCTCTTTCATTTGGATCACTTTTTCTCTTATTAATAACAGTTCGCTTAGAAGTTGAAATAACAATTCTTCCAGAACTTTGCTTTGGGCCATAGGCCCCTGATTGACTGTCATTATTACTTGTACTACTGATATTCTTTCTCATATTAATGGAAATTTGATTTTTTGCCGTAGTTACTATGTTTCCACTAGCTCGATCGTTAATTTCTCCTTCATTGGATTTAACCAATGTAGTGCCTCCAGTAACCGGAAGATATTGCTTATGTTGTCGAACTACTTTAGGGGGCATATCCACAACTGTATTCATCGTATGTCTGTGGCCTGTTTTAACAGTAATGCTCGTTTTAGCTTGTCCATTACTGCCAAGTGCTATAGCAGACGTCGAAACTGATCGACTAGCAACAGCCTTATTGCCATGTGGGCCTTTAGTAACAACCGTACGACTCGTTGTAACCGTTGGAGGATTACTATTGCTGGCAGAATTAACAACGCCTTTGGTTAGTTCTGTCGCACTAACTGATCGCTGACGATCATTTAACGTCGGAACAGTTACTCTAGATACTGAACCACCAATTGAGACTCGAGCAACTTTACCACTTTGGCGTACAGGTGGTACGGGAACATTGCGTCCAATAGGCCCACGAGAAACATTATATGAATTAGCGGAAGTATTAGCATTTTCATTATTGACAAAATTTGATTGTGAAACAGCGCTACTACCACGCCATTTATTATTATTACTTTGGTTATCATTGCTGTTAGTTGGTCCATAACTTCCGTCGACTTCGCTATGTCGATGATATGATGTCGGATGTTCAGGATAATTAGCTTGATTTGCATTAGAAGCATGATTATAGCCGGATCTTTCTGAAATAGTTGCATCTGATGGTGGCGAATATTTTCTGGGGCCAGAGACACCGGAGGCAGTTGTTGATTGAGAATGGGAATCATGATATCGTGAATTGTTACCATTATTCTGATTACTGGGGGCGTTATTCTCCATTTCCATAATATGACGATTTCGTTGGTATTCTTCTCCGCAAGAATTTACTCGTCGACGTTGTGCTTGAACGGATAAAAATTTAGTAATTTGAGATGGAGGGGAGCGATTACCAAAGCTGTATCGGTGAGGTGTTGATATAGATAGTCCTGGTCGAAGATATAAAGGTTTAGCTAGACATAAAATTAGTGGATTCTCTGGTGGAGATGATGCTAGTGTACGATAAGCTTCATCTAAACTTTTGCCAATCAAATGTATTTGATTAACAGCGAGAATGCGACAACCAACTAATAGACCAGGTTCACGATCTGCAATACTATCCGATTTGATGTTATTGATAATTGTATAAGTTTCCTCAGATCGAATTGGGTGCTATATTGTCAATAAAAAGACGATGCCGTGTTAATATATTTTTAAAATCATACATTCATGGTACTACTACGAATTAAGACGATAATCCGAGCACATTAATGATAAAGCAATGATTCTGAATCATCATGAAAGTAATATAGTAGATGAAGCTTGCCGTAGTCAGTAGATTATCCGTATTAAAGAATTATATCTAAGAATTGTATAGCTGGCCTACTAAGCTTAAAGACTATATAACAAATTGCACGATAACATGATAACTTAGGCAGCATTAAGGAATCTGTTTGTTCGGTCAAAACTTCGGACCCTTAGTAATCCCCATATTTGAATTTTGATTTGAGCAAATACAGAAAAAAGAAACTTATATCATAATATTTTTATAAAACATTTCAGTCCTTAACCCAAAATCATACACTTTGCATATCAAATTAAATCTTTTAACTCGTATTCAATGGGAAATTAGCAATTTCCTAATAGTCAATAAAATTATTACTAATTTATTACAAATACCAAAATAATTTAATCAAATGATCTTAATTTTATAGGTACTGATTCTGGAAAAGATATTTCAAAATCTACTTTATAACCTTTGCAGTAGATTACTATGAAACATTTAGCTAAGACTAGTATTATTATCAGACTTAGTTGCTTTAAGCAGTCCTCTCTCAGCGAGAATAACTTTCATATTATTATTTGCACAAGATCCATAGCGAATGAAACAAATGTTTTACCATCCAATAAATTATATAATACGATAGCTAACAAAGTATATGGAATAAACTTAGTTCCAAATGCATCAAAGAGAAGCAAAATTTTCGAACCACATAATCAGCATTTTATCATTTTGTTAATAATAAATGAAATAACTCGTACTCGCCACATTACGGTGACCAGCTGTATTTATTTGCTAGTCGATATTAAATCCTATTTATAATTGGACACTACAATTTCGTGTAAAATAAATACCGCTGTGTATTCTGACGACCAATAAAGTAAAACATGACTCAGATTATATGATAAATTTGTCCAATTTCAATTTACTTTTCAAATTTTATAGTAATAGTTATAGAAATTGAATTCTACAACATTTAGCAATTGCTTGTCATAGCAGTACAGTAACTATATTTTTTTATTCGTTGAAGACCATAGAATAGCAAAGTTTGAAGATACATCTCAAGTCAACGATAAATTGTACGGTTTCTAATTTATTGACAAGAGTGATGCTACAATAAAATTCAAATGAAATTTAGACAGATCTAATAGAAATAGAAGGCCAATGTTTGTCATACATTAGTGTTATAACTTAGTTTTCGTCAATTCCGATAAATACGTGATGTCTTAGTCGCGTGTATTAATAACTCACTCAATTAAAGAAATAAAAAATTTTACTTAGACGAATGATTTCTTTCCTTGGAAGTTTTATTGCAAAGATATTTCAACCTAGCAATAATTTTGGCCGCCTCGATCTGTCTCACTCCCTTCTTAAATCGTAATGTTATCACCGATTTTGGAGAATATATAAAATATAACCTAGTACAATATCAAGATGAAGTATAGATATCTTCTACTTCCTTGATATTGGAGATTGATTCTCATATCCTAACTTAATACATACTATTATAGTGCTAGAACCTTTCTTACCAATAAAAATGAGTTAAGAACTGTAGTAAGTGTTATAGGAAGCAATAATAAGCTGTTACAAGTTCAATAAGTGTTATACTCCACAAAATAATTTTAAACTTGACCTTTTTGCATGCAAAGGAGTTACGTTGAAATTTAGGATATGTAGAATAATGCCTGTCTACGTTGATTCAATTTTAACTTTAGTCCCACTAGAATCTATAGAAAATACCTCTAGTGATGTACTGCTTATAATTTGACTTCTGAGAATTCCTATTAAGTTAACTGAAAGTTCATAAAAGTGCCACGTTCATTCTCATGAATATAGCCATATCGTTATCGTAGCATAAGTGATAAAAGTAATTTGATAAATATAACTTCTTCATCCGGCGATGGCTTTACAGTTTATTCTTTAATAATAATTAAATCGAAATTAAGTAGCGAAAGTGTTACAAAAGTAGAATAAATATAAAAGAAGTTTATATCGAAAACATCCAAATCGTCTTTCTATGACTCATAACCTATCGCAGAAGTAAGATTTCAAGATCTTTAAAAGTATATCTTTTGTACCATTCTCTGGATGACGCCTTAAACTAAGTCAGTTCTGATATATTTTATCAGAATTTTAGTTATAATTCAGTAAGAATTTAGAACATTCGAACGGCACATTCTATGGCAGATGGTATGGCTAAATTATAGTGCAGTATACAAGAATCTATGCCTGGGAAACGATGCTTGAAAGTTTTAGTGCATCTAACCTTATACATTAACTTGATGAACTAGCATCAAAAACAAAATGATGTGATCATACAACATTTTTATTAGTAATAATTCACTAAAACATTCTTATAATCCAATTTGGGTAATTAAGGGAAGAAAAATAGGAAATTAAATAGGATAAAATAAAACAATAACCTTTTAGTATTACCTGTATCCCTGCCCTATACTACTAAGATTATCACTGAATATGGTGTGCCTTTGGTGGATTCCATGCCGAGAATAATGCATTCGACTAAGCAAAAAAATCGGATTACTGAATATACGCCTTTCTTCATTGCATCTTATTCTTATCCTATTAAAACTGACATATTTCGTTCATGCGTACATGACTGTATTAAGAAGATATATCTTTACCGTGTTTTAATCTTTCCTTCAATACGTTAGTTGGTAATGAATCAATTCTTTTATTAAGGAAATATAAATGGATTCAATTCCTTCGATTAATTTAGTTCAGTTTTACTTCCCTAGCTTTAACTCAAAACTTTAAGATCCTGATCGGCGTAAACAGTATAATAAAGAAATTCACCACTAAGCTTAGTCTCAACTCTCAATCCTCGAAAAAAGGAATTTATGTAGAATTTAAAGAAACTTGTTTTCTATATAACGTTTATACTTGTGAATACAGATGTATAACACAACCGAGTAAATTGATACAGCCAAAAGCTAAACTCAAATCATTTTATATTATTAATGGAATTATGAACATGTTTCACATTCCTCATGGCCTTCTAACTCAAATTCGAATATTGTGAGACGTAAATGGATAATATTGAAAGTAACATAAAAATATGCAAGTTAAATGAACTATAAAAATATTTCGAGAAGATTATGTAAAGACCAAGCTGTTTTTAACGGATGACAAATCGCAACTATAGCACCCAGTTTGAATACTAAACTTTAAATTGAGCCAATCGAACGTAAATCGAAATTATAAAACAAATAGCCAAGATTTCCTCTAAAACGATAATATTTATGCCCTGTATGTCTTACAAAACAATATTTGATATAACTTAACGGCAAATAATCGCTAAAAATCTAATCTTCAAGTATTGACTAATAGAATTCGTATAGCAAAATTAAAATCTGTATCCCATTTCAGTTGTTGGTAATCTTTTTACAGCACTCATCGTTAGATTTTACACCATACAACATCGTATGTTCGATTTTTAATAGTAAATAATTCGTAGTACGGTTATACCGTTAAGTGTATTCATAAATAAAATAAAGAAGGCGATGCAATATTACCCTTAGAAAAGTTTATCGAATCTAAGCTTGACTAAAATAAGTTGACTAGGAAGAACTCCAACGCTTTGATACAGCATTTTTATTGTAGTTCATTCTCAACTTACCTTCGAACTGCTGATATAAAATCCCAACTTTGTATCAGTGGCTGTCCTAACCAATACCACTTCATATGGATCACTCCATTCGATCAGCTCTGGTGATGATAATGTTGTCGAAACGATCTCGTCTAAGTTAAGAAAAGTAAAGATTAAAATCTGACATCAGTACCGATGTAATATTGCTAGAGCTATAGTTGTCTAGTTAAGAGATACCAAGAAATATTCTTCTTCTTAATAACCATATGAGTACAGTAGAGCAGTAATGTAAGGTATAATTAGAGGCGATAGAAGTTTGATTGGATCAAGAAAATTTTTAAGACAATTGCTACTAAAAATAAAACGATCATAATACGGAACAGATTTCAATATTAAATTAAAGAGGAATTTTAATTAAATGCAAATACTGTACATACTTTTTCCTATATATCAATAGGCTATTGTCCAATACTATAGTGGTCAATACGATGATTTGTATCATGTGAAAAGGCAGTCTCCTTTTGACATTGGTGCTAACGGATACTGTTGATGGCAAAATTGTATTCAATTTTTGTAGAAACTTATTTTAAAATGGGGTATTAGCCTTCAAGACTTTAAAAAAATAGCCAACATCAACTCTACAGTATGTCCTTATATTGGATTGGATTAAAATCGTTGGAAAGGTCAAGATATTGAAATAAAAAATAATTAAGAATTCGTCTCATGTGCATTGATTTGGATACTAAAAGGAGCTCCTCCCTATGGATGGAAAAGTGGTGGCTCTAATTATACCCCTTGTCTTTGGCTATTGTTTATGCACATATATTTAAATTGACAATGTCTATTAGATAATGCAGAATATCCCTAGTACCGCGATTATTTTCTTCATTTTATACTCCATTTTCTCCTCTCTACGTAAAGTGACTAATGATAGTATTTAGTGAAATTAATGCCATCAGTAAATGTTGAAATTTAATGCTGATTACAATTTTATTACTGGGCAATAATATAATTCATACAACCTCTCTTATTATAGATTGGATTCAATTTAAATTTGAACTATTGCATTTAGATCTATTAAACTACCGATTAAGAATAGATGATCATTATGGCAGACGATAGCGGGAACGATAGCAAGTCATGTGCGATTATAATTATTAAATGTAAAATAATTATATTAATCGGAGAGTTAGAGCTATTATCTAATCTATCGATAAAAGATGGCTAATTTAAATGAACTACTAGAAAGTAGTAAGGGAAGATCACAATTAATAATTATAATGAAGCGTTTTCGACTTTTAGATTAAGGGAGTAACCAAGTTGATTATCAGTGATCACAAACAGTGAAGCGTAAATATGCTAAAGAAATTAATCTTAATATTAATGTCATTATACAATAGTGTGAAAAAGTCTATGATTTATCATGTTAGACAAAAAAATGTTAATAAGCAAAACATTAGCAAGAAAACGAGAATAGGCATAATACAGATTGCAGAATATGCACAATCTACCTGCCATCAATAGTGGCAATAATTGGTAGTTTATAAACAAGTGGACTTTTTTTTTCGCAATGATCTATTCTTAACTATTGCAAACAGAGGGTAAAATAGAGATGGATAGAGAGACAATTAAACGGTTTTAAGGGTTTTACCTAGCTATGCCATCATCTCCAATTGGTAATAAATATACAAGAAGCTCATACTAGCGGGTGTTGTACTTATGCCTTGATTAATTCGTCGATGGACTGTTATATAACAACAATCAAATTAAAAATAATATAATCAAACAAAAACAATAGCCTAGGTAATATATAATATAGCCACTACTGTATAACATAAAACGTGTTGGTTGATTGAGGTTGATCATACGATCAGTAATTAGATATTCTAATTCGTGTTTAGATTAGCACAACTAGCTACGAATTAGTCTCTTGCATAGCAAATTAATCAAGCTTGTGATGGCATTATAGAAGGTAAAGAGAGTCAGGTAACTCCTCACGAAATTACAGCAGGGATTTACTCATCGTAAACAGAAAGAAGATAGACTGGTTACGAACATGAGAGTACTTAATTTATCTCGTATGTATAAAAAAGTTACAAATTAATATCATGGTGTATTTACTCATATTGGTTTAGTAAAATGAATAAATAAAATATGCCAATT